CGGAGCTTCCGTATGAGGATGTTATGGGAGACAGTGTTGCCTCTCCTGCGAGTGGAGGCCTCAGTGGGCATCCTGCAGGTCAGGCACGTTGAGTGCGGGTGCCCTCAGATTAGGCAAGATGGGAGTTCTCAGAGTGTGCTAATATTTGTGAGAATTTAGGGAGAAATCCTGAGAAAAGATGGTCATACACGTAATCATAACCAGTTGCTGTGCTAGATAACACCTCACACACTCCCGTTGTTTCAGTTGGTCAAGCCAAAGCAAGCAAGCTTTAGGAGAAAACAGCTGGGAGTTTCTCAGCCTCTAAGTATGTTTCCTTTTCAATTTTTCACTGGCCAGATATTTTTGATGTTTAAGATGCATCCAGCATTTATTAGGTAATGACTTCCTGTGAAACTTAAATTCTAAAATGAAGTTGTTGAGCTCATAGTGAGTGCAGAGTCCAAGTGTGTGTTGAAGCATACACGGGATTGAGATCAGATCTGTTATTAGTTATTTCTAAACTTTACAAGATTTTTCTCAAACTATTTTGTATTTTATATTTATATTTTATGATTTTCTCAAATTACTGCAAGTTGTTTTAAAATTTCCTGGAAAAGCATTGCACATGAACATTGACTCTTCTCTGCTTCAACAGTTGCCAGCTTTAAAATGAACTTGTAATGATTYTTCATCTGTGGACTTCTCTTTCAGATGGAGCAAACATGTGATGATATAGATGAAATGTTCAGCAATTTACTTGGGGAAATGGACATGCTGACCCAGGTAAATACTACTTGTTTTTTTTTCCCTAAAGGATTTGAAAAATAGTTATTATATATTAGAGAGGAGAGAGTCCTTCTGCAGTTTTCATGTTCTTTCACTCTGAATAAATATAGAAAAAATATTTTGAAAAGCGTACAACTGAATTTCTCAATGTGGCGTTTTAAATGATAGGCATGGAGAACAAGGTGGTATCAGTGCAGATTAGATTATGCAGGAGAGCTAACTACTTGTGAAAGATGCTTTTTCCAAAAAAAAAAAAAAAATATATATATATATATATATAAGGAATAACTTAAATTCCTTTTAGACTTAGTTGCAAGAACTTCAAAGGTTCAATTGAACAAGAGTCTGAATTTTCACATATGAGCATTTTGTATGCATGGAGAGGTAGCATGAATAAAATATGTAAACTTTGGATATGAACATAGCATTTTTTATTATATTGAATATATGATTTAACAAAAAGAGTCATCTTTAGATATGTCAATATATTAAGGTACAGCTGGGTGGCATTCAAGAATTTATAGAGACATTATTAGCAGTACAGAATATAAACTTAAGAGGAAACAATAAAACAGTGTGAGCCCATTTCTAAACCTACAGTTCTGTAATATTTCCTTCAAAACCTGATAAAGGAGAATCTATCGTTCTAAAGTCAATAAATTTGTGGTGTTTTAACATATGGTTGTTTGAAACGTTCAAGCTGTAATTTGGGTTCTCTGTGAGGCTGATTGCTTGCAGCCTCGTCTGGGGGAGTCATTCCCCTCAGCAAATCCCCGTGCTTGCCAAATCAAATGCCAATAATCCTAAACCACAAAACAGGAATTTTGCTTATACCACATGGAAGTCTAGATAACATGATAGTCTCAGATATCAATACTTTGCCCCGGTAGCCTTCTGACTTATGTTTTTTATAACCAATGTGTATGAAAGTTACATATACATGTATATATATGCTTGTATATATCACAGAATCACAGAATATTCAAGGTTGGAAGGGACCTCTAGAGGTCATCTAGTCCCACCTTCCCGCTCAATATATGTATATATATACATATATATGTATATGTATACACAGATATGCATATGTATATAAAGGGAGGCTCTTTTAGAATAATTTCATTTCATTGCCTTGCACATCACTAAAGGAATGCTTGTGTTAAGCTTTGCCTCCTTGGGTCGGACAGGGCCGAGGAGGTGGCTGAGGCTGCAYGTCTACGGGCCGGGGGCACCTCTCCCCTCTGCTCTGCACAAGAGAAGGAGACAGTGCCCGTATGACAGCCTGAAAACTCCTCCTGACAGCAGAATTGTGTCTTTTAATTCCTTCAAACTTCATTTCCTAAACCACTCTGCAGATAGTTTCTCACACTTTCTTCCCCATTTGGCTTATCTGTTCCTAAAGTGAGTGTAAATGATAGAAACACACAGAAATGCCCTTTCATTGCATTAAAAGGTGGAAAGCTAAATGAAGAACAGGAATCAGGTTTTTCTGCTATTTGTAATGTCATCCTCTGTTTTTTATAGTGTTTAAAATAATTTTGGTTCAATTTCTCTTTGCTTATACTTTCTCTGCTTTCATTTTTTTTTCTGCACTTTCCTGGCTGTTATAAGATGTTATGATCTCATAATACTCTTTGTACCTTCCCTTCTTGCACCTTTTTTTTTTTTTCTCTTTTAACTTGAAAACTATCTCATTCGCTTCTTTTCTCCCTCACCCTGATTTATACCATGTCTGTTTTAGTGAGAATAGCTATTAACAGAGAAACTGTGTTCAGAGTTGTTGCTTCTTTGGTTTCCAGCTCTGTACAACTGCAGAAGAGATCAGTATGTCCTGGGTTGGAAATTTGTGAAAATTGCTGCCAAGAGAAATATTTGCATAAATTTTCAGGGAAAATGATTGTCAGTTGCAGGCAACTCTAAGAAATGTAAATGTCCTGGTACAAATTAGTTATGAATAGAATGCCATACTGTTGCAGCAGGAATTCAAACATCTCTACAAAGGTAGAGCTTGCAACGTATATGAAGTAGTCCTTCCACTTTCCTCTGTGTTGGTAAGAAACAGTGCCTGATGTTAGCACTGCATTTAGAGAAGGAAGAGGGTCAACTGGAGGAAATCGGGAAGAAAGCAATGGCAGAGATGAGAGGGGAAGGAACATGGCCTGTGAGAAAAGGTTGAGCAGGGTTGTTTAGTCTGTTGAAGACAAGACTGATCAATTTTAAAATACATAAAAGGCCAACATACATCAGACCACAAAGTACTTGATTCCTCATGTATCTGGGCAGGGAAGCAGTAGACTACATTGTCAGAGTGGATGCTGGAATATATCTGATCAGAGGTGTTTTTTTTGTTTTCTTTCTCATTTGGTTGTTTTATTTTTCCTTCAGAAGAGCTTAGCTGACCTGCTGACCTGACAGCAGATGTTGAAATGCCTTCTGGTCTTGTTTCTGCAGTTCTGTAGCATTTGGTTGTTCAACCTATCACCTTTCTAGCTAGGGAAGAGGAGAATTTATCCTCCTTAACTTCACTTACATGCTTTTCCTAACCATATGAACCAGGGGCTCCCTGCTTGCTTCCTAAACAACAAGCTACAGGCTGGAAATCCTCTATTTGATTATGCAAATTTGTGATTTCCATTGCAAATAGCATTTCTTTTCAAACAACAGGAGCAAATAACAGCTAGGTTACATTTATATTAGTAGATAATGTACTCTGGACCAAACGGCACTGTGTATCCCCATGTGTACACGCATCCACAGCTAAACTCTTCTAAATTCCCCTTCCAAAAACAAAATAAAACAAAGAAAAAACCCCAAAACCTCACCCAAAATCCATAAACTGATTGACTTTATCCACTGCCTCTGTTGGAAACAGCCATGACCTCTGCTGTGCTCAAGCCATGCCCAGATGTGCCTGGCCTAGGCCAACATTTTGCCATTAAACARTTGCCACGATTGAGAGACAGTGCTTGAATCCTTATCCAAGCTCTATTTAGTTTTCTGAGGTCGTGCCTAGATGGGTAACTAGTGTGCAGTGTTCTGGCCATTGGAGAAGAATTAACTTTCAGAGTAAGACGCTTTCAAGGTGAGTTTTTCACAGGTATTCGTGTCTGTCATAGAAATAATGTCATCAGAGATATATCTTTCTCTTTTACCTTCAACAGAGTTTAGGGGTGGATACGTTACCATCTCCATCCCCCAAAGCGGCCAACAAGGAGTTCAGCTTTACAGTTGGTTTTAAAGATTTAAATGGTAAGTAGCCTGGTTTGTTCTCCTACTTAATCAAACCCCTGCATTTCACCCAAGGTATCAGAGGTGGGATCATACCTTTGTGTTATTGAAGCCATGCCATTTCTGAAGTCTTAAAGCTCTCTGATTCTGTCTTTGCCTATGTGGATATTAGAGTTTTTAAATGATACTGATATATGAAGATACTCTCGATCTGGTGCTCAGTTGTGCATATGGCTGAGTACYAAACCAAAACTTGCTGAGTTATAGACTTAACTTTAGCTAGATAAGCAGTCTAATGGGAGCTAATTGACCTTTGTCACTAAACATATGCTTAGAAACTTTGCTGGATCAGGACCAGGTTTTGAAACATGTTACAGATCTGAGACCTTATCACTGAAAATAAAACTTTCTGTATTGCCTAATTTATATTGATTTAATTCCTTGTGTTCTAAATTTAAGTATCAACAAGGAAATGGCTGTTTGCAAAATGTCTTGTTTTGAACCCATTTAAAAAATTCTTTTCTCTCCCATTACCCTTATATTTTAAAGTAACTGCATCTGCTACAGTTTAAACTTCACTCAGCTGGAAAGTGTTTTGCGTTGCATTCACTCCAATATGTGTGGCGTTTTTCTTTACAGAATCCCTAAGTACCCTAGAGGACAAAGACCTAGATGCTTTAATGGCTGATCTTGTAGCAGACATAAATGAAGTTGAACAGCGAACTTTACAAGCCCAGAAAACTACTGGCAGTCAGCAAAGCACTGTCACTCAGCCTCCAACAGGCTTGGATACTGCCACTTCTCATCTGTCAAGTGCCTATGTTACCATTACGGGACAGTTTGGGGATGATTTGCCCCCTCCACCTCCAGACCCTAACTTAGACCTTCCACCACCACCACCACCACCACCTCCTCCTGAGCCACTCACTCAGGTAAGCCTTGGGTGAAATATTGTTCAAAAGCATTCAAAAGTTCTTATAAGTTCCTAAGTGGATTTTGGCTTAGGAGCAACAGAGAATTGATGTGAACATCTTGGGGGAGTTTGGCAGTGATGAAACAGTCATGAATTACTGAGTGACAGTTGTTTATTATTGTGGGCACAACAATAAGAGTTATTGCTCATTCCTTTCTAATTGATATATTGATAGTACAAGATGGGTATAAATCCTCAGAAAATATTTACTGTAATGGGAAACTTTTAATAATCACTGATCAATTAATACCTTCTCACAGAGAGCTTGGCTTTGACATCAGTGTAAAGCGTGACTGGAAGTCTCACTGTTCTGTGCAGGCATCAYTTGGTTCATTTCTGTCTACTGCCAGTCTATTCCTGCCAGTCTATTCCCTTCCAACCTTGAGTCTATTCCAGACTCAAGAACTGTTTACCAGGTCTGCATGTAGTCTTTTTTCTTGAAACATGAAAATCTGTTCAATAGTGCAAAATTTGACATTTGTTAGCACACTGGGTGCAAGGCTGAGCACAAAATATATCTTGTCTTCTCATYCCAACACTGAAGTCACTCTGCTCTTCTTGGTCTTGTCCTTGAAGGAAGATAATGAAGCCCATCTGCAATATGGGACCCTCTTTATTTAGGAAATGCCAAAATTATCAGTAGGCACTGTTTATAAACAGTTGGCTTACTCATATGCYACAATTTATCAGAGTTGTCACAACCTCCTCCACATTTTTCTGTCTTGCATRTCTGTTTTAACTACCAGAATCAAACATGATTTTTCTAGTCTTCAGCGTGAGGTTGTAGAGAGGGAGATAACAGAAAAATTCTACCCTGCCACAGTCCTATGGGGGAGAATGTCTGCATTAGTAGAATGATGCAGCATAAAGTGCATGAAGTGTCTTTTTCTTGCCTTGTTTTTTTTGTGCAGAGAGGGATTCTTTACATTTTGGGAATAGAAAGATTAGAAGGTGACAAAAATACTCTATTGACCTATCTCAAACTGTACCGGTTGGTTGTGCTTAAAATCCTCAGCATTTCATTGTGATTTAAAAGTTCACATAAGCTGAATATGTATAACCTCAACATCATTGCTGCCTCTGTGTTTAGTGTCATACCACAAACATTTGGCAAAAAGAACAGAAATTCAGTTGGAAATGGACTGTTCTGATCATGCTAAAAGGCAACTCATTGGATAAAGTTTCATTTGGGGTACGAAAACTTCAGTGCTGTATTGGAGGAATGAAAGTTGTAAACATGAAGGAGGAACTTTGTTTTTTTCTATATCTCAAAGATAAGTTCCTATCTTAAAAGAGTATCAATATTGTAAAAACAGCAGCTAGACCATTTCAGAAACGGAAGTCTTTTATGTAACTGGTGTAACTGATACAAGAGGTGTTGTCAAGAAAAGTTCAGTTCCATGTCCTGCAGGCATATTCCCATATTAACCTGGAAATATCAAGCTTTTAAATAGGCTGTGTTGGAAGTATGGGCTGAAAGAGAAGCCTGTTAAGTGGGCTGAAGATTCACCAAACTGCCAGTGTGGAGCGGGATTGATACTGGGGCTCACATGTAACATTTTCATAATGATCTGAATGTTGACAGAAGAATCATCTGGAAATATCCTGAGAATGGTTTTAAGGAACTGCCTGACATTATGAATGGCAGAGTTTCAGAGCAGAGACAGCTTGCAACAGATGTGAACTGAAATAAGCAAAATCCTCAGAAACTCGACGAGGTGCAAAGTCCTGCACCCATGGTGAAAAAGAAAAGCATGAATTTGTACAGTCCAGGAGTGTCTGAGTAGCAGCCCTGCTGAAATGGAGCTGGAGGTCTCTTGGATRCCACATTGAGTGTGAAACAGTAATGCAAGGTCACCTGGGCAAGGGGAACTGGACTGTGTTAGAGAGGAGCATGGCCAACATATTGTGGGAAGCAATTATTGCTCTCTGCTTGGCACTAGGGAGGCCTGGAATACTGCATCCTRTTTGGCTATGGAGATACTGGAGGATGTCCAGCAGAGAGCTAAGGAGATGGACAGTGGCCTAGAGCATGTAGCCAGCGTAGGAAGACTGAGGGAGTGGAGCTTGCTTGGTCTGCCAGTGGAAGGTGAGAGGTGATCGAATGATAACTTAGAATGCTTAAGACTAACCACAGGACTGATGTAGTCAAACTCTTCTCAGTAGTGGTGTATGACATAACAAGGGACAACAGCTCTGTGGTGTTGCTTTAGAGCTTCAGACAGGACACTAGAGGAATGGTTTTTTACTTTGGTGGGAGGTACAGTACTGGAACAGGTGAGCCAGAGAAATCACATATTCTCTGTCTTTGGAGGCTTTCCAGGCGTGGCCATGACTGATGTGATCTGGTGTTGCTGGTAGTCCTGCTTTGGGCAGGGAGTTGGACACCAAACCTCCAGAGCTCCCTTCCAACCAACACATCCATGACTCTGTGAGCTAAAGCTCACTCCAGTCAACGGTGCTCAACTTTCATTTTCATTAACTGAGTCTCTGCTTTTATAGCTTCAGGCCACGGGTAGCTCTCCTGTGTGTAACTCTCCATTARCTAGCATCCTGCAATACCTGATGGTTAGGTATTTCTGAGGGTGTTTCTGCAAGGAAAGAAAGGATATACCTGGTAAACACGATTGGAATTCTCTGTGGAACAATATATCTGGAAATCACCTCTGCCTCCCTCAACTAAAGCATTCCTAAGAGACTGTGGGCCAAGTTAAATCTCTAGAAGTGTCTTCTGGTCTCTTCCCAGAAACTAGCCCTGTAGGGAATGGATACAGGGAGAGGGTAGAGAAGGATGAGAAGAGGAGCCAGAGGCATTCCCAAGGAACCTGTCTGCAGAAGCTGCTTCCCTCAAGAAGTTCTGCTTTCTCCCAAAGCCCTCATCAATCTCTGATATGGGTGATATTCAAATATTGATGGCCTCCCCATTGTATGGCATACACAAAATTGCCTGTACAGTTATTATATAAGCTGCAGTGCTGGATGATATGTAATAATCATTTAAAATGAAATACAGAAGAACTGACTAATATTTACTGTCTTGGTTAGTACATATTTGCTTTGTCATGACACTTCTGCTCAGAAGAATGAAGTACAGCTGTAAATGGAGTATTTTTTGTTTTGTTAAAATCCACATTCCTTTTAGCCAGGTTTCTTGATAGGTAATTTTTGAGCAAATCATGACTGATATTTTGYTTAACATTTATGACTGTCTGTAGTCAAACAAACATAGAGCAAGTTATTCCATTTAAACCTGTAATACCAAGACTCTATTACTTAACRTATAAGCCTTCCAAATTTAAAAATAAGATTATTTCTTTTAAAGAAGTAGTTTCATAAATTTCTATCAACTCTGACATTTCCTTTTAAAGCCATCCTTAAGCTAAATACGCCGTGTACGTTTTCTGTGGCATTATCTAGATGAGATTTATGTGTGTCTATTTGAAGATTCGGAAAAGGTGATGATGAAGTTGCAGTGGGAAAACAAATCTTCAGCCTGTCAAAAGCATGTCTTTAACATTGCTAATATTTTTCACCAGATGATTTATTTTCTTTGTGCTAATTTCTTTTTCTATATTGAGAAAGGCAAAGGTTATGAAAAAGCTCTCAGATGAGAAATCTTTTGCACAGATTTGTACAATGGGTGGACTCTGTTCAGCACAGCTCACAGGCAGGCTGAGTTCCAACTGCCAAGGCTTTTCAGCAGAAACCTGCCTGCATCGASCCAGCCTCTTGGTAAAACAAATTTCCCTGCCTCTTGCAGAGAGATGCTTTGAGATGGGAAGGAGAARAGCATGGGCTGAAAGGCTGTCTGTTCTCTGTAGAAAATTCAGCCTTTCTGTGGAGGACAGAYGCTGTTTTTGAGTGCTCAGAGTTAATCATCTCTGAGCTGTGGTGCTGCTGCACTACAGATTTCATTGTCTGATGGAGAAAAAGGAAAAGAGACTTGAGAGCTGATTGTCTGACATTCATAGTGGAGAACCTGACAACAGCAGTCACACTTGAAGCCATCTCTTTGAGGTCACACACCTCCCCTTGTATTTTTGACATCCCATGAGAGGCTAGTATCCAAAAGTGACAAAATGGAAAGGTGTCTGGTGCCTTAAGAAGTCTGTCTGTCAGGAGTAGTTTAGTCATGGCTGAATCGCCGAATCTGCCTCTTGGCAGTGGCTGAACAAGGTAACCTTCTTAACTCTATTTATTTATTTATTTATTTATGATTCTGTGGTAATCTGTAATGTGTCTGAGGAAGGCTGTAGTGACAATGCCCAGTTAGACCTACACGCTTCTTGCACTTGCATCTCTCATAAGCTACAGCCATCCTGGTCCTGGCCTTCTTACTGTCCTAGGGCAAATAAATGGTGATTTTAGATAGCAAACGGAGGGAGAAGGTAACACAGAAAAAAATTGTGTGGAGGCAGGGCAAGAACTACCTCTCACAGATACTGATTGGAAGATGAATGTTCTTGTGAGGAGCACAGCACAAATTCTCATCTCTCTAAAGGGAAGGGAAGGGAAGTGTGGAGTTGAAAAAGATCAACTGTGACAGTTCAGATCAGTGAAGAGAAGCAAGGATTTAATGCTGGGAAGAAACAGACACACTAGTAGCATGAACAGTCCAGTKCAGCACCAGAAACAGTAGTTAGTTGATGCCCCAAATGTACCTTTCAAACTCTGCAGATCACCTGGGGTGGMAGTTGGACTAGGGATGTCAAAAAAGAAATGGTCAGAATCTTTATATCAGTCACTTTTGGATCACAGAACTCATTCATTTGTAAGCAAAGAGCTTGGTCTTACAGAAAAAGAAAAGACAGAATCACAGAATGTTTAAGGTTGGAAGGGAYCTCTAGAGATCATCTAGTCCAACCTTCCCGCTCRAGCAGGGACACAYAAAGCACGGGGCACAGGGCGGCATCCAGGCGGGTTTTGAAGACCTCCAGAGAAGGAGACTCCACAACCGCCCTGGGCAGCCTGTTCCACTGCTCTGTCACCCTCACAGTAAAGGTCTCTCATTGTKGGTCTCTCATTGTGGCTGCATTAATGTGAGTGGGTCCTTTACCACATTGAAAGTTCATGGTTTCACCCAGCTGAAGACTCTGCTCCTCTCTGGAAGTACATATGCAGTAGGAGCTTGTGAGTATGAAGCAAAGGAATTCAAGTGAATTTATTTAACAGTCCTAAACTGAGTGGCAATATTGCAAGCCTGGTTTTCAGGAAGAGCCTAAAAACTCTAGTTCTCTAAATCCTGCTGAGAAGGGGAGTTTTCTTAGAAGCAGCTGCACCCACAGTACTGTTTCATTTGGGTTAGATCTTCCCACATCTTCTCTTATGTATCAGCTGTGACCCATATGCAAACAGAGAAAAGCTCATTTTTCAAGCATTCCTGCAGCATATGAAGAACTGATCATGGAAGAGCTGCATGACTAGACAACAAAAGGAAGCATTTGGCCTCTAAATCAAACCTTCAGGCTGGAGGGAAAGCCAGGGATTGCCTGCAACAGTGCAAGCCCAATGTTCTGCATATAAATAGCAAGAAACAACTCTTTTCAAGTGATTGTAAAACTGTTGGTCTTATTTAATAAAAAGTGTAATGAACATGTTGTGTCTTTTCAGGAAGAACAAGAGGCACAGGCTAAAGCTGAGAAGATTAAACTTGCATTGGAGAAACTGAGAGAAGCCAAAATTAAAAAGGTGGGACTTAAAATAGTGAAATGCTACCATAATAGTTTATGACTGAGTATCTATTGTCATTATTCTCAATAATAAAGTTCTTACTAAGGTCATTAGTCTTTTTCATATTTTGCCTTTCATTTGAAACATCAAAAGATATCCTGTGGAGCTGTCTGGTCATCTGAGTGTACAGAAGTCTCTAGACTGCTACTTCTGAGGGTCTTAGTCTTAGGGTCTTCTGAGGGACTCAAAAGGCTCTATCTAATTTTTCAATGTTGGGGCAAAGTTCGCAGTACTGATACATTGCTTTATAGGACATGAATGTACATAGAAGTGTTGCTTATTTGCACTGTGCTAATTCCAGAAGTATTAAACTTCACTTTTGTCATGGCTGTAGAGACAGCAAATCCAAATTAAATAAATGTGCATGTTATTGTATATTCTTTCRTGGCAGTGCAGCAGTCTACAAAAATACCTGAGCTGGCTTTAGACCAAGAAATAGGAAAACAAAAGCTTCCAAGCAGTGTCAGCCCTGCAGTGTGTTCTGTAAATATGCCCTGTCTGTCATCACAAGGGTGTTTCCAAATCTGTACACACTGTAGTGTACCTCACTGTAATGTGTGACATAGGGATATCCTAYGACTCCAGCTGAACTCAATAACACCTGCAGATATTCAGGAACTYTGAAAAAAATGGGTGCAAAGGAGAAACAGTTGTGACATTTCAGTTGTGCTCAAATAGGAGATGGGAAGTGCTTGAGATGAAGGTCTTCCAAGAAGGTTTCAATGCTTCCAGTAAATCTGAGGGTATCCRGATTTGAGATGGCTCTCATAGACTTTTTTGTTTCTTTTTGTGCACTGAATAATTGAAACCAACAAGCAGAAGTAAGACTGCTACTTCTTTGAAACTGGTTTGTTGTTATGTACATGTATACGTGAACATGTATAATTAAATTGCTCTGTCATATTTGAATTCCAGGCTAGTTTAAAGACTAAAGAAAGTTGCTCTTCTCTGTCTTGGAAAAAGATGGAAGTTGCCTGCATATTTCTGAGCAATTGAAACACTATAACCAGACAAAAATCTCATTTTTCCCCAAATGTGTTTTAGATTATGCACGTACAGCACTTCTCTATAATCTCTGCTACAGCTGAGCTGCTTATTTTACAGAGCAATATATGCAAGGATTGGAATCAGAGCAAGTGCACTGGTTTTATTTGCCTTTCCAGATACAGTGAGGATTYCCAGGAGAAAAACTATACTTTCTGCTTCTAACTCAACTTTAACAGAGGTTCTCTCTRTTGCACCAAAGCCTCTTATACAACTGTTGTAAAATAAGGGGATATTTAAATAAGATGACATGAAGAAGCCCTCTCAATACAGCAGTTCAGTTTCATGCTCTATGTATAGCTTCTGTAGACAATGTTCCTCTGTTTTCAGTACAAGGGGAGGAATTTATATACCTCAGTGTTTACCTCATTTAAAACAAAATTATGCCTTTCCACRTTTCTAGTCTCCTTTAAGGACATACTATCCTTTTGCTGTGATTACMCTATCAAGCGTTTTCCTTAACTGAGTATCTAGTAGATTTAGGGGTTTCTCTCTATGGAGACTCTCTCTCCATAGCAGTTTCACCTTTCCTGAAGTCCTGCAAAGAACCAAGCTAATTTCCCTTTTTTTCAAGAAAAGATCTTTATTTTGATGGTAGCGTAATGTGAAAGCTTCCAAGCTTTATTATTCCCTCAGCTCCCAGTGGGACAGGGTGCCTTTGAAACAGTAATAGCCTCCTGCCTTAATCTTTCTTATCTACGCTAGCACATTCAGACTAGCCTTTTACTTGCTTCTGAAATTAAGTGGCTCTTTGTGCCCCCTTGCCCAGCTGGTTGTCAAGGTGCACATGTACGATAACAGCACAAAGTCACTGATGGTGGACGAGCGGCAGGTGACACGGGACATTTTGGACAATCTCTTTGAGAAAACCCACTGCGACTGCAACGTGGACTGGTGTCTCTATGAAATGTACCCGGAGCTGCAAATCGGTGAGTGATGCAGGGAACATGGAGCAGGTAGATACTGTGCATCCTGTGGTCTGGGCAGGCCTGGAAATYTGATAAGTAACATTTCTCCTATGTATTAATTCCCAATGCAAGTGCCTGGCCCATAGTCTAAATGAGCTGGGAATGGAGCCCTTCTGTTTGCAGAAGGAGATTTTGATTTGGATTAAGTGGTGCATACTCTTTCTTCTGCGTCCAGTAGGCAGCAAAATGCAGTTCATTTTGTTCAAAATTATAACCATGTAGCTATTCTTTATTCCTCTTATATCTTTGGCAGTTCCAGATAGCTTTATTGCTCTCAGGATGCTTAGTAGGCAGTCTTTGATGGTCTTTTCCTTTTTACATGCTTCCCATGCTAGAATCTAAGAGTGTAATCTCAATGTAATCTAGAATATGATCTAAATTACATTCCCTGTGAGAAGCAAATCTAGCAAATATTCCAGACTAGTGAATTGACATTCCRGAAGATCTATGACAGGATATGGATAGTCATATTCTGACAAACAATTGTTGCAATTAAAATAAGCTGTACTTTTAGATAAATTGCATATTTTAAAATACAATGAATGTTTTCAGTAGTGAGATGGTGATGTAACACTGGGTAGTATCTACCTTGTTACAGAGCGTAAACCATCCACTTTTAAAAAGACCCCCTAGTGATGTTAAGATCATATCTTTAATACAATAAAAGCCTGGGACTGGAAATCAAACAAAGCTGAATGTGACAGAAATTACTCCTAACTAAAGAACACAGGGTGAGAGAATAAAATTTTGCCTCCTTATTGCTTGCTCCCATATTCACCTTTCTTTGATCTATGATTTGGCATTGACATATAGGACAACATGTGCACTAGGTATGTTCCATACCACSTAAAGGTTTGCAAACTGGTATCTTCCTCCTGTAAAATCTTTCTGCATCTAAATGAAAGAGATGAYGAGATATTGCTGATATGAAACTTCTACCCATTTTTTAAAATATGTTTTACATATTAAAGCACATTATCTGAATTTACTATATTTTTTAAGGGCAACTGCATGCCGTTCCCTCTGTCCTCAGAATCCCAGACCTTGTTTGATTACTTCGTGCTGCGCTGTGACGGAATTAAGTGAACAAKTTAGATGCTGTTACTGAATTTATTGCTTCAAAATTAATATATCTATTAAGTCATTATATTCTTTCTGTTACCCAGTGTAACTACTCTAGATAGGTAGGTTTGCTCCTACATCTTGAGAATTATTTTATAGTTATCCTGAAATATAAGATACTCTTTACCCTTCAAGTCATTACTTGGAGYTTTTGTAATACTTTATATTTCCAGTTTATTTGAGAAATATTAACTGTTAAATGAAAAGTATTATTAACACAAAAGGATTAGGACAACAAAGTTTGTGTTGTTAAGAAGTTGCGATTTATGTATGAACTGGCCATGATGTTAGTCTGTAGCTCATAAAAGTTGGCAGTGGTTTAATTCCCAAAAGTTAGTTCTGAAGGGTCACACTGAACTCATGACAAAACAACAAGCCGTATTGTAGAAAGCTCATAAATATGTGCTGTGTTATCTCCTCTTACACCAAGCCAATCTAGGCTGTTGAGAAATRTGGTCAGCAGAGACCACTGAAAAGGGAGTACAGCTGTTCAGAGAAAACTGCCAAAATCATATTGAAACTTTGACCTGGGTARTTTTTTTTTCTTCACAGATACTGAATTTGTAGAGAAATGCAGTTTAGGCCCTTCCAAAATTGCTTGTGAAATCATTCTGACATCTTTTTTCTTCCAAAGGGGATTTATGTGACTGTTAAATACTTCATAAAAATAAAACTCCAGAAGGAGAGGCCAGGAGTTACCTAATGTCAGCATAACCTGGTGGCTTTTCTGAGTGATGAGTTTGGTTTCAAATCAGCAAAATAAGGGATAGAATTGACATGAGATCTCCCACATCTCTGGTGAGATTTCTAGCTGCTGATACGCTGARTGAAAGAGTAGATCTTCACATTGGTTTAGCAGTTTGCCTTCCTGTTCTCTTGGTTCTGTTGTTTCTGGTTTTAAATATGGTTGCCTAGAAGAAAAAGATTTATTCTGAGTGCACAGCCTTTTTCCTGGTGACAAAGAGCTATTTTTCACTTGTTTCAGTAAAAAGATTAAGAAAGTTCATTTTCTCACAAAAGCATTGACACCATTAAGGGACATTGGTGTAACTCTCCTGTCAGGACACAGTTTCTACCATTCACAGTCTCTGAGCAGCAGCACAGAAATGCAGGAGGACTCCCAAGAAGATGCCAGTGCTGCATAAATCACGGGCTGTAGCTGATTTGTGCTTCCACCAGACACTATTTTCATGTGGTTTGCTCTCCTCTGTGTGATGGAAAAGAGAACAGGGAGGGAATGAACATCAGCTAGTGTTTTCACTCAGAAACAGAAATTTCCATCTGCAGCCTTGAGAGAGAGGGAGTTTGAGTGTCTTACATTATCTTCTTTTTGTCCCTCCAGAAAGGTTTTTTGAAGACCATGAAAATGTTGTTGAAGTGCTCTCAGGTTGGACTCGAGATACTGAGAATAAGATTCTGTTTTTGGAAAAAAGTGAAAAATACGCTTTATTTAAAAATCCCCAGGTAAGGTAACAAGATATTTGGAAAACAGTCTGCAGTTATGTTACTTAGTCCATATGTTGCATATTACTCTATTGGTTTAGATCTCTCAGCTCTAAATTATTGAAAGCCAAATGCATATTTGAAGCAAAAAAGACATCCAAAAGTTGAACGATGTGAAAAATAGTKCTTTCTATTCTCTCCTGTTAATATTTTTAAAGTCATATCTTTAATGGTAAAAAATAAGGCAAGTATTTCTCCCTGGGTACGAGTTTTTGCTTAGGCACAGCTCTTAGAATTGGAGTGAGATGGGACAGTGGTAAAAATCTGACTTTTGTCAGTGTTGTAGTATCCACCACCATTTCCACAGAGAAGCATCAGCATTTCCTTGCAGGTCTTATTTTTCCCAGTTGTACTTGAAACTACATGAAAAGAATGCTGAGCACTACAGAGAAAGTTTACCTGGAAGACTGAAAAAAAGACTTGGGTAACCAGGACACTATGCACAATGACTCTATAAAATGAGGACAGCTTCAAATTATATAGCATATATATATAAAAATCATTGTTTTCTGGTTATGTGCAATAGCAACCATGTTTATGAAGACTTTGGTATATACAGGTGCTGGATTCTCTGGTGGTGATTTTYTTTGCCTTGTTACATATCTGTTGGTTTGCTTAATATCTGGTTCAATCCTGAGGAGAGCAAGGTAAAAATAAGCAATCCTTCACTGCAGGAGAAAAAAAAGATTAAAATATATAATTTGGCAGCAAAGCTCACTCAGCTGTTCAGCTGGGAAGTTTTTTTTTCAGTTGAGTCGATGCTTCAAATAAAACCTGCAGAGAGGAAGTTTCCTTCATTCACATAGAAAGTAACCACAGAAGGGAAAGAAAACTTACCCTGCAGTGTACATGGATTCATGTTGACTTTTTATTGTAAATATTAATATTAAACAGCAAAAGCCAACTTTGGAAGGAAAATACACATGACAGCACAGGATGTCATACTTTCTATAGCATAAAAGTTGTAGCAGTGGTTAGGTGGTCTTATTTGACTTGTACACCAGTAATGTTGTTTGCCACAGCTCAGGGCAAGGTCAGGAAGTACCTTGTGAGGAGCAGATCTTTGGGGGAAATTCTATCTATTTTGCTTGCAATGACCATTAGAAATAAACGTGACCCAAAACAAACTCAGTTAAGATCCTAACTGTATCCTGCTTACAGGGAGCTTGCTCAGGATATGTTTGCAGTCCTTGAGCGTCATCACCTCTGTGATAAGCCCTAACGTGAACAGCCCAGGGGGAAGCTGCCTCAGTCGTGACCATCATGCTGTTTGGGCAGGGATAGCATCTCACCACCTGTCAGGCTCAGTAAATTCACACAGCGTGAGGCGTACGGAGCAGTGCGGTCGTATCAGCACTCCTTCCTTTTGGCAGAAAATAATCAGTATTGTACAGCCAGCGCTCATGCTGGATTACAAAACGTGGCAAAATGGAATATACCATCTGCAGTGAGTCTCTGAGTACATCAACTCAGAGGCTGAGCTGGTGGGTGGCAGAGAGGTGACCATGGAGCTACCTGCTTACAGAAATGCTTGTGCAACCAAGAGAAACTGAAATCCAGAGCTTTGGTAGTGCATTCTTACACGTTCAGCTTCGTCCTGCCCCTCACTCAGGTTGTGTTGAGGTTGCTTCATCCGGGGAGTGCAGAAATTACAGAGTGGTTTCCCACTGGCCAGCAGCATTGGCCTTCCTCGCTGTGCTCCCATTTAGTGCTCCTTCTGTCAGAGGTTTTCTGCAGGGATGAAAGCTTCAGTTTGGTAACTTGTGATTTTTTTTCTAGAAGAAAGAGGTAGGCAATTTGCAAGAGTGGTCAGACACCTACTATTTGTAGACAAATTAGTGATTTAATTAGTGCTTTAAAAACCCAACTATAAAATATATAGATGCACTGCTAAAACACAGCACCACCATCAGCACTGGTGGAGCTCTGGAAGAGATCAGTGATCTGTGCTAATATTCCTCATGTCTTTCTGTACCACTAGAACTAGACATGCACCTGATATAGAATAAACAACAATTATTTAAACATTTCATTTTCTAAAGAGCAACTAAGGTTATGAAGTGCAGGAGTTATCCTCTATTTTTATGCTTGCAACATATTCCTCAGCTTCTGCTAGTGTCTGTTTACAGAAGATTCTCACTCTTGTTATGCAGGTCCTATCTAATATTTATCGCAGCTTTGTTTCTCAGAACAATTTTTGAAAGCATTTGGAATGCATTTTGAGGAAAAAAAGCTTTGGCAGAGCCCCGCAGTCTCTCATTCTTCACAATGCCAGGCACATTTTCACCCTCTCCTCGCTGGAATGTGATTTACCCCGCAGGGAATTCACAGTAAAAAACTGTTCCACGAATGGCGTCAGTGACTCGTCTACAGACACAGAAGGTCACGAGTCTGCAACTAAAGAGTGAAACAGAAATATGTATCAGTACACATGAAAATAAAGAAAACCTCTTAACATAGGAGAGGTGACGCTCTGTCACGTGGTGCAAGGATGCTCTGAAACGGAAGGTTTTCAGGTTTCAACACCTCTTTTCAAAGAGCTCAGAGTAATTCTCAGCTAAAAGAGACTATAACAAAATGAAACATATAGGAAGCACTGTGAAACTGTTTGTTTCATTTGAGCAAGGTTGTTTGTAAGGTACAGCTGAATCCAAACTCCCAACTCTTAATGTTAGTCATGCTTTTAGATCACTGCATATTTCATTTTTGCTTACAAGATTTTTGATTTTCTCTGTTTCTCTATTGTGGATAGAAGCAGATGAAAAAATGAAACAGTGTAAATGACACCACATGCATGTGCTGTCCATTCTTATGTAATGTTTTTGTACAGTATTTACATAAATTGGTAAAAATGTAGATACAGTGAGTACTTTTTGCTTCTGCTCTCCAGTTGATAAACCAAGAGCTGAGCTGTATCCTCCAACAGAGAGTTCAAACACTGAATTCATGCTTTGTTTTTTCCACCAACTAAATTACTGAACAGTATGGATATGGATATAAAATGATATGGAGTAAAAATTTGTAATGTCTTTCTTAATAGGCTGGCTTTCTCAGATATGTATATTGAAGCCAGTTAAATCTGTTTGGTATCCAGCAGGTGATTCTTTTATTTTTAATGACTTCTCCAGCCATTAATGACTCTGTAAATCAGATGTTTTTCTCTCCACTGTTACCCTGTGATGGGAAACAGAAGTGTTTCTGAAAATGACTGTTCAGTCTGTAAATGACTGTTCAGTGGGCTGGCAAATGCATAAATAAATTGAAAAGAGAGAGGAGAAGTATTTTTCACCATTCTTCCAATATTTAGGGATCTTAATGTCTTTTTCTATTACTATACTTCATATTATATATTTCTATTAGTATAATTCATCTCTGCATTTTTACAAGTGCCGAGATATGGGCGATGGCCCAGGAGGCTTGGCAGTGCAGTAGCTAGGGGTACTGCTCCTGCAGTGATCCAAGTTTGGTTTGCTTATGAGTGACCACAGAGATTTTTTTCTTTTTAATTCAAAATTGAAAACCATTATTTTCTTTTGCTGTTGTTTGAGGATTATACAGTGGACAGACAGCAGACCTGATTATTTTGCCTGTCTCCACAACCGAGAAATGGCTAAGTGGAGAGGTTATGTGAATAAACTTGGTGGATTTTGCAGAGTACAGTACAAAGCACCAAGTTAACTCATACTGGCTATGAAATCTTTACAGGAGTTCTCTTTGTCCATATGGAATTCCCTATAAAATAAAACCATAGGTGGGTCAGCAGCTAGTTTTGCTACTGTCCTTCCCTGGCCTGCATGAGCATGGGGAAATGTTGGCACAATGTCTCCCAAGGATGTCATGCCTGGCTAGCAGTGCCCGTCTGCATTAGCCTGGATCAGGCAGAAGGATGCGGGAGAGCAGCTGGCTTCCTGGTGGCCTCAGCAGGTCCACAGTGCTTGCAGGCACAGGGATGAGTTCAGCAAAACCCTGTGCTTGTTCCTCTCTGCAGCAACTAACCTACTAATGGATTAAACAACTCTTCATACTCCTAAGTTACCATGCCAAAAGAGGATGGATCCATCCTGTTGAGTAAGCTCAACTGTCTGTTGAGAGTGACACCTTCTTTTGGAAATAAAATACCCAGTTAATTCTCACATTTGTGGACTCATTCAGAGAGCTGCCTGTAGCTAAATCTTGTCACAGTTATGACTGAATTTCCTAAATCAAGCATGTTTTTCCCGGTGGTGTCTTTGGATGGGAAAGAGCTTGCCTCTTACTGTGGCTTGGAATGACCTCTGGTGGACACGTGTGGTTGTCTCCTACATGATGAATGCTTCTGATCAAAAATAGGGGACCACACAGTGAGAAAATAAGTACAGCACACAATCTGCTGTCCAGGTCCTCAGCCACTGGCAAGTAATAAGCATCATGTACTTGCAGACACCAGGAAGGCAGAGACATGAGGGAGGTAGTCAGTAATGGATGAAATGTGTGTTGACAAGTGAAAGATGAAATCGTTCATCTGTGTTATGTTGGTGTGGGTGACAGAGCCCTGTTTCCCTAATGAAAAACTACTTTGTTGGTGATCTAGCATGAATGTCATTACAGAGTTTATTTCTTTACTATTGCCTGTGTAGGCACAGGGTGGTCTGTGCTTTTGCTAAATAAATGCCAGATGCTTGAACGTGAATCGGTTCTAATCTAAGCAGCTTTGTTTTCTTACTATCAGTACATTGATGTCCAATCAAGGCAGATGAGTGATATAAAAATGTGCCCAGGCTATTTATGCTCTGTCAATCCTATATAAGAATTTTAGCCTGTTTCCCAGTACGAGTGGCTGTTCTGTTAGAAACTCCAGTTTCCTTCTCATGTCGGTGCTATAGATAGACTTGCAGGTGCCTGAGTTTCTGAGGTCTCCGCCTGACTTACTTACTGTGAATTTTTAAGAAAGCAGTTTTTAAAGAACTGCTTTTGAAACCATTCATACCTCTTCCCCTTCCTCTCCTGGTGCCTTCCAAAACCCCTATGCCCCGAGTGTTGCATTGGGCTGTTCAAAACACGGCTTGAGAAAGGAGATGTGGTTGTGTGGAGAAGCGAAGTTTCACTTCAGATAAGCTTTTTTGCTATAAACACAGGGTGTTGGCATGGCAGGCTCGTGTGCTTGTTTTATACGGTGTGGTGACAGCATGTTGCTTCCTTCATTTGCATGTCCCTTCTTAGTCTTTTGGTAATGTTTTGGTAAGGTTTGGTGATGTGGTGCACTCTAGCCTTTGAGTCCCATGGCAAAACTGCATGTAAATATGTTGCTACGTTCTCACAACCTTGAGGTGTGTATCACCAACAGAAAAAAGGTGGGGAGATATGAAACGTCAGATAAACTCTGATGCTTTTCTTCCTGCAGAATTGCTGACAAATTTACAAAATTACAATATTTTTTAAGTGGATACCTTTCAAAATTTACTGGGTCTTTTTGCATTTGTTTTGCAGAAAGCAGGTTTTGCTGCTTTACTACCTTTTGTTCTACAGGCCTTTTACTGTCCCCTGCACCACATATTTTGCAGCCTTAACCTGCTGGTCTGCCCAGCCTTTCATTTAGAAGATGACCAGCACGAGGGCTTGTTGTGTGTCTTCATCTCTCCAAATGTCCCTCAAGGCCTGGCCTAACTCCCAGATCCCCGTCTTTGCTTCCCGCGTGCCTCAAACCATAGCTGTCCTGTGCAGTTCCTGTGCGGTGCAGACATGGGCAAAACTGTTTCTGCCCCTTGGAGCTGATGAATGGAGGCAGCCGTGAGCAGGCACGAGGCTCTCAGCTCCCTGGGCTGCTGGGCAGAAGATGCTTTGCCCTCAACGTGCGGCCCCATCACAGAGCTGCTCTCCCAGGGTCGAGGAGCCCCTTCCCGAATCCAGGCCTGTGTTCCAAGCGGTGATCTGGATTGCACGTGCCACGCTGTTGTGGTGCCCACTCCGTACACTGCTTTCTTCTGGATTTTCAGCTATGCTTTTCAACTGTTTCATGAGATAAAAATGTTTTGCAGGAAGTGAGTTGTAAAAGTAGGGGGAAGCGACTTTGAGTGAAGCACTTGCTGTTAAAATTAAGAGTTGAAGCTTGTCCAAAGCACCAGGCACGGAGGAGGGCAAACTACCAAAATGACTTGCTAGAAATAAATACCGTCTGGGTTTGGTATTGCTTTTTCTCTGTCAGCATCAGTGTGCAATATAATGTTATGTTCTCTAACACCTCTGTAATAATACAGGAGGCTGCGCAGGTTGGAATGCTGAAATCAAAACCATTGCTTCAGAAAAATGGTCAAATAAAAACAAGGCCTCAGCCAGTGTTTTTAATATTGTAGGAGGCTGTATGTATAAAGGCAGAAGTAATTTTATATTCTTTTTGAATTAAATTCAAAGTGAGAATTAAAATTCATGGGCAGGCAGCCTGTGATTTAGGTTGTCAATAAGAAGAGGACTCCTTAAACATCTGCCTCTCATATCTATTATTTGGACTGCCAGTGGGGAAAGGCCAAATAACTATTGAATGGGCTTGCAGCCATCTACTTGTTTGTACTATTGTCTCTATAACTAACATCAGTTTCTTTTGTGTCTTAATCAGAATTTCTACCTGGCAAACAAAGGGAAGAACGGAAGCAGAGAAATGAATGAGAAAAACAAAGAGGCTTTACTGGAGGTAAGCCAGCTTTCTAGGCTGATGATGCCACCATTGCCAAACCCCTGCTTCCATCTGCATCTGCCTGCAGCAACAGGCTGAGCACTTTGTGGGCAAATGGGTAACAACAGGAAGCTCTGTGATGGTTGGGAAGAGCCGTTTTGTGCCTTAAGCTTCGTTTGCGACTTCTCCCCTGCAGCTGCTGCTCACTGCTAAGAATGTGGTTTTATCCCTGTATATTAGGGTTACATTTATATTTATTAAAGTAATAAAGTACAAGTAAAAAWGTAAAAACAATGTTATATGAATTTGAGTAAAGAAATACTGTGCAGCATGGGACTGTGTATTGCTAGTAAGGTTGGTCCGTAGCAGAACTACTGCTTTTTGAGGGAGAAGTAGATGTAATTCTCATGACCCAACACTAACATCTGTACTAAAACAGAAGAAGAACCTTTGCATTTTTTTTCAGGAAGTCTAGACTTGTGCCTTCCCTGTTGAAGGTTTAATTAAGTTGTGTGCTTTGAGAGAGAAAAATCCAGAGTTATAAGAAAAAAAAGTCACGGTCCTCCTGGGCATGCATTTTGGCTTTGATAAAAGTTTAGGAAATTAAACTGTTCTCAGAGTGCCTGGAGATTCCCATTTCCAAAGCACTGTCTGATCATGCGGGCACCAAATCTCAACTAGCAGAAGTCTGGGTAACTTTTAAATGAGAACATGAGTTTTGTTGGCATTAAAAATGCTCAGCAGTAGGTCCTTCAAGCAAAGGAGTGTATATGTTCAAAGTGTCTTGCAAATACCGTCATTTACATGCTAACATTTGAAAGTGAAAGCAAAGACTGAGAGACATTATTCTCTAGCTATTTTCTAGCTATGTAAGGACAATCTCTTAAAAAGTGTTTTTCCACAGAGCCTATAGATACAGCAGCAATGAAAAAGCAACAGCAGCAGTACCAAGCGTTCTCCTCTGCTGCCCTCACTGGACGCATCTTTGTCTAGTTAAAACCTTTGGTTTTAGGTTTTACTTTAGGTTTTTACTTGACCTTTGAGAGAGAAGAGGTTTTTGCAGACCTTCATTTCCAGTGTGAGCACCTTACTTGCAAAGGCAAGTTACCACATTAGTTTGAAAAACTTTAATTTACCTGTCTAATGTATTCAGCTCTCTTATAACTGCAGTTCACATATTCATACATTCACTGTCACAGAGATTATCCGTGGTTTTAAAGGGAGTATTCAGCTATGTATGAGTTTTGTTTAAATCCATTTTTTTTTGTGTAATATTATTCTTGTCACATAGGAAAGCTTCTGCGGGACATCTGTCATTGTGCCAGAGCTTGAAGGGGCCCTTTATTTAAAAGAAGATGGAAGAAAATCCTGGAAGAGGCGTTATTTTCTTCTACGGGCTTCTGGAATTTATTATGTACCCAAAGGAAAAACCAAGGTCAGGAAGCAAAATAAGCCTTTTAGCCATAAAACAATTCATGGAGGTGAAAGTGAAGAACTCCCAAGGTGACATTTTAAGAGCAGCATCTGATGCCTCTAAGAGTTTTTTGTTGATGTTGTTTTAACTTTGGCCACACCACTTGTGCAAATACTCAAGTGTTGTCACTGAATCCTGTCATGTTTCCCTTCCTTTTGATTTCTRTGCATGGATAAAAGCATTAATGGAATAGCGATCCTTCAGAAGTCAATGGGGGAAAAGAAAAACAACACAGCACCCGCCAGTTGGTGTTATGCTGCAAATAATGCTTCACTTATGCAGCTTCCCTGTGGAAGAGTCGCAGATGTTTTAAAAATTTTCAAGTAAACTCATTTCCTGTCAGAAATAAAGAGGAATCTGATTTCGTTTGATAAGAACTTTCTGCGCTAGTAACCGCCAAGCAGAAATGCCATTCATCTKTTTTCCAGTGATCTTTACCTAGCGAATACGCTGCGTCTTTTACTGCTTTTTCCAGCTGCCCTTTGTGTAGAAAGAGGTGAGACAGAGGCACCTACTTGATGGAATTACATGCACTGACATTTACTATAGCAGAGTGCTTGAAGAGCCTGAATCGCCAGCCCCGGGGAAGCAAAGGAGTCCTGGGCACATTGCCTGTGYGGGCGGCTGGTTGTGCTTTTCCGCTGGGCAGGTGGGGTGACTGCTTTGGGATAGTGCATCGTTTTCATTATTTTGCAAAGCACTACTGCCTGCAGTTCTGTGAGTGCTTCAGATTTGCCCTAGAGGGGAATTCTAGTGCTGATGGTGGAGGAATTCTAGTGCTGATCACTGTCACGATCTGCGCTGTGAAACTTTCCTGCCATTCCCTGGCTGAATTACAAGGAAGAAAAGGGAACGGTTGATGGCTCATAGAGGCATTCAGTGCTGCTGCTCCAGGGACCCGTGTTTATAACCAAACCTCAGTGAAGCACAGRTCTAGATTGCTTGGCTACTTTCACAGCAATTTATTGTGACTTTACTTGACTCTGCTGCATTGTCCTCAAATCATCCTGCACGCACACAACATTGTATTAATAAGGAATTAGGACTCTATTTAGAAAGCCCTTAAGAGAGGAAAGAGCATATGAGTGGTCAAATGAAAAGGCCATCTAGGACATGTCATTGTAGCCTGCCACCCCTAATGGCCATCRGCATAGTGCCTAGGGAGGGCAAACAAACATACTGATATTTCCCCAACCTTTTCTTCATCCTCAGAGACTTTCCATCATAGTTAAGATAAGGGAAGTGGTTTGCTTTTCAGTTGATATTCTGCAAATGTAGTCAGGATGGAGTTACACAGTCCCCTGGAACAGCTGTTTGGGTTAAAGACTTTGTTGCCTGCCAGTCATCACACTTCTCTACCACCCAGTCTATAACTGAGCTGTAGTAAGGAAGGGTGGGAGTGCTCTGAAGCCACCACCTTACCAGCCTGACCAGGCATAGTGGTTTAGGACCTTGATTCAAGTTCTTTAGGAGAGAGTCATAGCTCTTCAAGATGGTACCACAGTCATTTGTTCGCTCCAGTAGCAGCTTCAGCAAAAGGATGCAAACATCCATGAATCAGCCAGCCCAGAGAAAGACTTTTAGCCCAAATCTACATTTAATGGTGATTTAAGCCAATGAATGGACCATGTGTTGGAAGAGCTGGGGCTCAGGTAGAGATCTCTTTTGGGGAGATGGTAACCTCTGGTAGGTGAGCAGGTGCTGGGAGGTGTTGACATTTCAGAGCCCTGCAGAGGGGCTGGAGTGATCCTGCATTGAGGTACAGAAACAAACAGCTGGTGGACAATGCCTTCAGCTGCTGCAGCTGTTCAGAAATTCATCWTMTAATCATGTTTTCTTTTTGKTTTTTTTGTTAAAAACCCTAAGATTCTGACGTACCTTGGCACTTTGTGTTGGCTATAAAAACATTGCAGACCTTTGAAAATGCAGAGACACTTTCAGATAATTTTGCACACATGCTTTCTTAAAAAAAGATGAGGCACCCATCRACATTTTCATATTATTTTCTTTCTTCAGCATTAGTCTACTTGMATATAATTTTTAAAAAGCATTGCTAATGGACAGGACCATAAACAGCTGAATCCAAATTGCTGACAATTTTAAAAGTGTTTTCTGTTAATTAATATTGTTTTGTCTGGTCATGTTAAAATTGCAGAGTAGTAGCAATAAGTGCCTTTGATTGCCCCTTGCATGAAGATTTGTTCCTTACTTTGAAGGAAATAACTGCATGCACATTAATTTTAATTTCCAAAAATAGTTTCCTAAAGGAAAGGAACAACTCTGTATTCTATAGCATGGATTTGAGCCTGTGAAGGAACTTGCAGTGTTGGAAAATCACAGTCGGTGACAAAATCATATGAACTTCAGGGGGCCTGCAGTGATAGAGAAGCTCTATTTTTGATCTTGGCTATAGAGAGAGAGCGAATTATGGGATTTATTGCTTTTTTTTTTTTTTTTCCCCACTATTTCAAGATTACTCGGTTTAGCCAGCAGTCACCAATTGACACGGCCATTTTTGCATTTTGCTCCAGAGGATGGAAAAGGGAGGCTTTGGAGCAGGATCCTTCTGCACAGAAAAGCATGCCAGCAGCAGGCACCTCATTACTTCAGCAACATACTATGAACAAGTAAATATTATGATAAACAGAAAAGGAATGGTGCCAGGAAATTTAAGAAAATTCAAAGCAGAATACTTGAGCTGTGAGCTTGTTTGATGAGAGTTTGCATTAGTTACAAATGTGAAGGAAAAGCAAGTTCCTAAAGCAATTTACAATCCAAAACTTTCCTTCTCTTCTCAGAACAAAGAGCTTTGTTAGGTCTGTATGTGTTTTACTAAAGTTACTATTATTTTTCTTTTATTCAGTCTTTATTTGTCTTTAACCAAAATCTGCACATAAAGCACTGAAGCACAGCAAAATAAGAACAGCAGCAAAGTGTTGCCATGTTCCATATTATGCCCAGTGTGTACTGACCTTCTTCCTTCAATGAATTTTGCATCAAAATCTTTTTCTTTCTCACAAGAGTGTTCTTGATTTTCATTTGCAGACATCCCGGGATCTGGCCTGCTTCATTCAGTTGGAGAATGTCAATGTTTATTATGGCACTCAACATAAAGTGAAGTACAAGGCACCTACAGATCACTGCTTTGTCTTAAAGGTAATGTGCAAGAAAATGTTCTGCAAATGTTATATACCAGTTCTGTCATTAACTTCTGCAAAAGAAGTTAATTTCAAGCTGCAAGAACCCTGATATTTTGTGGGATAGAAGGACTGCTGCAGAATCCTGGCTATTGTCTACTCCAGTTTGTTCTTGATCAGCAATGTCACTTAAGAAGGCTTTTAATGACTGGTAGTCCCGTAATGTATGGTGTGGTCATAACTATTGATAATTTGTGCTGCAAAATCTTGCAAAAGTACATAACTTAGACTGCAGWTTTCGTAGCAAAACTAGCTGGGGGAGGAGGAGAAAGGTTTCTGTCCAAGCACTTGTGTGATCCCATAACTGCTGCTGCAGAGTCGCTGTTGCCATTCCTGCTGGGAAAAGATAAATGGCCTGGGAATTCTGCCTTCCTCAGGAGAAAATAACAGAAATCCAAGTTTTCTTGTAGCTCCAACAAGTAGGAATGGTGCTGTGTGGCTCCCTGCAGTGTTGTATGCAGGGAACATCTTAGAGTAATTAGGTCTTGATCATTATCTATCATTCAGGAAGATTTTAGAATACAGTGGAACTGCTGTGTGCAAGATGGAAGATAATCTTGTTGTGGCTTCTGCATCTAAATACTTTGCAGTGCAAACAAGACATGGAGAACACAGCATCTTGCCAGCTCAGAAAACAGTGACAGGAAACAGATAGACATAAGAGGTCACCTAAAATACCACATTTCTGGTTGTTGCTGCACATTTATACCCCATTTTGTACAGTTTCAAAATGTTTGCTGGTCCTATTTGCACCTGGCCGAGCAGAAGTGGTTTATAGRCTCAGACTAATTTTCTGTAACAGATGTATCTAATTATCAGAGCTGAGATGTTTAACTACTGCAGTTYTCCACAGATATCTCTGAAAAAAGCTATATTCTTATTTGTGAAAAGTAATGCCCTTTCTGAAGTCAGCAGGTGAGTTTTAKTTCTGAAAATCACAAACTTCTAATTAAAATAAAAGAAGGAAACGAAAAGTCAAGTTAAATAATAAGGAAAAGTTGRTTTTCTTTTTTAGTCCTCATTTGATTAATGAGCCCTCTGGACAAATAACTGGGCGAAAACAAAAACTGTATCTACCTCCAAGGGTGCAACATTKGTACCTACCTCCTGTCTCTTAATACTGAGGAGAAGAATTACCACTTTTCACCTCCTCCCCAGCCTCAGTCATCTCTGTTTTTATGGAGGGAAGAACCCTCAAAAGAGATTATATGAGAGCATTCCTGACATTTTGGTACCTATGTGCAAGGGACTGTCAAGAACTTCTGGAAAAGAGGAACTCTCTAACTAATGCTAACCACACCCTTGTGAAATGCTTTTTCCTAGAGTGGCTGCCTGGCCCAGCCAACACACACAGAATATATCTAAGTGCAAAGCCAGTGAGGGGGCAGCTCCCTCTGGCCTGCTCCTTTCTTGATCTGGCTGTTTAATTTCAACTTCAGTTGTTGTATACAGACCAAGTAGCTGGTCCTAGCATGGGTGCTGATGGTTGAGTGCTAGTGTAACAGCAACAAGATGATGCTCATCATGGGCTGATTGCTTTGATACTGAGCAGCTGGGATTCATTTTGCAGCCTCAGATGTTGGCGGCTGCACCCAGCCCAGCCAATTTAAACCAGTGCAAATGCTTGAGGCTGTGGATCCATCCTGAAAATGCTCCTCTTGCAGCTAGGGAATTGTGATGAGTTGTCAGTGCTCGTTACCTGTAATTTCTTCCTGCAACACCAGCACCTTGGTGTGTATCCTTTAGCTCAGGTCAAAAATGGAGGAGTTTTGGCATGTTAAGTATGAAGACACTGAGGACTGGAGAAATGGAGAATGGGTATGGAGAAAATGGAAGCTGGAAGAAAAGAGTAGCTGAGAATGCATCTCAGTGCCTATAGCAAAGGAGGAGACACTTTGCTCAGGTCATTCAGAAGTTCCCTTTCACAGAGAGAAGGAAGCCCAGCTGGAACCAGCCAAGAAGAGCATGGGGGGCTCATCAGCGTGGAGCAGGGCAGGGTCCCCTGTAGCTGTCCCTGTGCACAAAGCAGAGCCCATGTGGCTCATCCCAAATTCAAGAGCAGAGGCCAGTGAAGAGGCTACAGCAGAGCTGGATTCCAGGAATCCTTAGGCTTAGGGGTGAATATAAAACTTGAACTTTTCTATTTCTCTAATAATCATGTTGTCTGTGGTGATCTGTAACTCTTTTAAATTGATTGATCTGGGCTAGTGGCAAACAAGCCTCTCTCCCTCAAAAAAGTCCCCCTCCTAAATACAAAACAAGATGAAAACTCCTTGAGATATTAAAAATAGATCATCTGAATGAAATAGGCGTTTCTAGAGTACCTGACCATGCAAACATGCAGATTCCTCCTATTTGCCACTCACCCGTGACATGAGAATAGACCCCTCCTTCGCTTTTGACATGAGATAAAATGGATTTTTCCTTAGTATAGGTGCATTGGTTCAATGGAACAGTAGTTTCATGGCTGGAGGAAGACACCATGCACAGCAAGTGCACAACTTGGAGTGATTTGATTCCTCACAGTCTCATTTGCATTTACAAATGCTAATTTTTACGCACAGATTCCTACTACGTTATTGGGGGAATGCTGTGGAACTGAATGTGACCTGCTGTGATTTGTTTGATATTCTGAGGCTGAAATCAAGAGATTCCACCTTGAAGGAAAGCAGCTATTCACTTTGCTAGTGGCGGTTTCTGATGCACAGAGTAGAAACTGTGAACACAGGAACATGCAAAGTCTGTTTTGTGTGTTAAGTGTGTGCAGAAGAGGAGGGTGCACATGAATGTGCACATGTGCTAGTCCAGGAGCTGGTTTTGTTGTGTCGTGTTGAAAATGCTTCAAAGCAGACAAAAAGCAAGGTAATCTATATGCAAATTTGCTGGTTTAGCCACTCTGATGTGCCAGTGACAAAGAGTGAATTTAATTATAGTTTATTGGTGCTGGTTGTGCCTGAGTAATCTGGAGGTAATGGTGCATAATGCTGAATTAATCTAGGATGAAAAAAATTGGTTTCCTGGGGATAAACTGAGACAAAGGCAGATCATCCTCTATTTTCACAGATGGGTTCCTGTGCATTGCATACAGCTAAATTTTCCTGGTATAATTTGGAAGCAGCCAAATTTTTAAAAAATTTCGAATGATCTGCAGAATTTTAAAAGTAATTCTTCAAGAAAAAAAAAGCTTCTGTTTGCAACATTGAGGTTATTGCAGCTGGTAATATGGTGCTTAGTTGCTCCACTGCTCATTCCCTCCTCCTCGCACCCCATGTGCCCCCTTGCACATTGAGTCATGTACTTAATGTATTCAACAAAGTGGCATCTAAGAAGATAGAAGGGATTAGCAGTAGACAGAAGACAGGGGGAAGAAGAACACACGATTAGCATAGGAAACAAGGACACGCAAGACGTTTTCTAATTTTTTATGAGAAATATTTGCGAAAAGTATTGCAAAGAACAATTCCTTATAGTAAGGCAGTAGCTATTTCAGCTTTACAGTTCATGTACATATCTTCAAACGATCAGGTGAGCCTGGTCATTTTAATGCAAGGAGGGACAGCAGCAGAATTCGACTGCATTTACCAGCAGGCAGTGGATTTGAAGCAGTTTGGAGTGATTTTTTTCAAAGGTGCTGAGTATTGATTCTACTTTCAATCACGGGAGTTGTAAGCTTTTCCAAGAAGCAAGCTCGAAATAGCACAAGTTCATCATCAGAGAGTGAGCTATCCAAAAACAGTCATCATTTTTTGAAAATTTGGCTTAAAGTCAAAGTTCTAATCCAAAACTAGTCACTTATTTTATATTTCTGGCCATTGTTTCTCCCTCAGGGAGTAAGCAACGATTCATACATTTTTGGGCAAGGAATCCAACGAAACGCATGAATAACTTCAGTTTACTTTTCATCTTCCAAGTTGGAAGAAGGTGAAGGAAGAGAACATTTTATTAGGATAATCCCTGATATTGTGCACACACAGCCTCATCACTTTTAGTCATTTGTTTTGGCATGAGCTGTAGAAACCACATCTTTCACTTCTCATCGCTTTAGGTTTTCAGTGTTTTCTGTCTTGTTTTCCTTTGGCAAAGAGTTTACTTTATATCTGAAAATGTAATCAGAGCACAGATATATTTTTAAACCTCTCAAGGGGGAAAACAAACAAAAAAGCTCTTTATACTCAAGTCCTTCTGCTTTCTTTATCTATAGACAATTGATACTTGTAAAGGGGATGGTAAGTCAAGGGAGAACACTCAAGTCTGTTGCAAACCGTTTTACTGCTTCTCGAACACAGCAGGGCCTTTTGCAGCCCCACGTTTGAGGTGTTCAATCCTTAATGAGTAACTGCTGGATGTCCAGCATTTCCAAAAATCCAAATCCAAAAATCCACATCCAAGCCAGATTTGCACCTGTGTATGTGTCTCCAGCCCTCAAGTATCATTGATGCTGCCAATTCATCAATATTGAGAGCTTTGACATCCAGAAAGAGAAAGGACATTGCAGTTAGACTATATTACATTTCAGTGTCTGTATGATTGTTCTCTAAGTGTTTTGCCACAGGAATTTCTTTTCCTATGAGAAAAATTCAGAGGACTCTTTCTACTTGCATATGGCCAGTTTTCATCCGAACTGTGACTTTTGAGGTGATTGCTTTTCAGCATGTTTCTTTATAATTCATTTTCATGCCAGATATTTCTTAGATAAAGCAATAAGTCCCCTCAGAAGGTATATTTTTGCTTTGATGTCAAATGACTGTAATGACCTTTTCCAGACATGCTTATGCACCGTGTAACAAAATAACAAATAATTTCTTTCTCTCTACATGTGAGGCGTACTCAGGTTAGTGTTATTTATCTAAAGAAACAGTATTTTCTCACATGATCTTATCATGAATGACATTGCTGTGACCTCTGCTGTTCTCACAAAGAGGTTGTTACAGGCATTATATATCTAGTTTAGCAAAAAAAAAAAAAAAGAGGGGCTCCATAGGAGTCAGACCATCGGCTACTCAGGAGCTGAGAGATGAGGAATTTGTTTTATATGGATCATCGTATTTTATATGGATCACTGTCATTTCCTGGGACTGAACATTGTCCCAGTTGAATCAGCATTTTATGCACTATTTAATAAATTTTGCATTCATCACCTAAAGTTTTTTTCGGAGATCCAAACTTGTAATGGCCATGGCCAACAGCAGAGACTTCTGTCACTTGTATAGACAGAAGAGTTTCACTGCTTCCCAAATGAGCAAGTTGTTGAAGGGATGTGTGTATGACAATCTCTATCTATAAAATTATACTTTCCTATCCAAAGTTGCATGTTTCATGTATCTAAAATCCACGGGAAGCCAAACATGTCCATTTGAGCAGCTTTATAATAGTCTCAAAGCTGTGAAGCTTTAGTGTTGATCTTGGTGCTTTTGCTGCTCAGTCTTACAGCTTGGCTGTATGCAGAGATGCAGGAGGCCTGACCCAAAGCCCAATAAATACTATTTGTTATAATTTGTATTGGGTTATTTGCAGCTTAGCTCAGTGAGCTATGGGTGCAGTACTATGGGCCATAGATAAAGTTACCCATAAAAAAAAACCAGTGCCAAAACCACTTTTTTTTTATTCTTCTGACAAAGTGCCTGATGTTACAGTTCTTAACTGACACTGAGAAACAAGACAACCAGGAAGGTTTTGAGTCTTATGGATCCTAATTGACAGAATATAATTCTGACTCTGTATTTAATCATGATTGCTGATTGGAGTAATTTAGTCAAGGGACTGACTGAAGTAATCTGGGGTAGGATATCGGTAGTTAAGATAGATTGTCCTAGCAGAGAGGACCTCACAGGAATGTCTGAGGCCACGGGTCCACAGGCTGCAAAACAGATGGCTTTTGAGAAATGTGGTGCAGGTTTCTTGGCTTGTGAGCAGCATGGAGAGGTAGAGCTAGTGGTCAGTTGGTTACTGTCTCTTTCAGGACAAGAACATTAAGTGAAGGATCTAGTAGCATCCATGTTCAGAGCAAGTTTAGGTGGTTCTCCGTAGACTGTGTAGACTTGTGAAAACTGTTGCTAAAAGTTGTTGTGGGTGCCAGAAGTTTATGTGGGCTCAAGAAAAGACTGGAATACCTTGAAGAGAAACCCATGGAACAGTCTAAATAGAAAGAAACCCACAAAATTCCCTGAGCTGAAAATAGTTGCGAGAAGGGAGAGTACTGAGAAGGAAGTATCATGTAAGCTTGTTCTGTTTTCCCCTGCTTATGCCGCTGTCAGAGGCAGGATACTGGACTCAAGGACCGTTGCTCTGACCCAACAGACATGCTCTTGTGAAAGGGAGATTTTGGTGGGCTGCCCCAGCAGGGAGACTTGCAGTAGCCCTGCAGAGAAGCTTAGGGCAGGGCTGGCTGACCGGCTGCCCGCCTTGCTGTGCACCATTTCCTCCGCTGCCCTACTTGTGCGGTGTGCGCTTTCTCCCAATTCATGTTTGCATGAATTATCTATTAAATTACGGATAAATGCCCTCCTTTTAATAAAATGCTGCTGGTAGACATGGTTTTTGAAAACTGGGGACTATAGTCAGTCTTAGACTCTTAGTTGCCGTGAAAATCCTGCTTTAACGTTTAGAAAGCTGCTGATGCCACCTGCTGGTTTCGGTGGGACATAACACATTAGAGCAGGATCACCACATTGTAGAGAAGCGCCTGAGGAGTTGAATTGATCCAGGTTGGCGGTGCCTTTGCTTGCATCTCCTGCTTCCCTTGGCTCGGTTGGTGGCAAGGCCATCCACATCCAAGAGATGTATTGGGCTACACGGATATGTGCCTTCTTATAGTTTCTTTTTAATGATGCTGTTAAGAATCACTTGTCTAATGGTTCTCACCGTGCTTGGTCACTCTTGAGCGAGATGATGGAGGATGCCGGTGCGTGCTGGCTGCTGCGCAGGAGGGGATGCTGCTCTGAGGAGCAAAGCAGCAGTCTCAGGCATGGCTCTCGTGGGGCAGAGATGGGCTCTGCTCTGCAGTCTGGATGCCTTGGGGCACTGAAGTGGAGTATGGGATGTCCCCAGGCTGCAGCAGGCAGATGTCCCCAGGCTGTGCCTATCTCCCAACCTGGAGTGCCCCCGAGCAAGCTAAAATAAGGTAACTATGGCCAGAGGACTGGAAGTGGTCACATATTCACAATGCAGTGCAGGTGGCCAGCTGTGTATCTGCAGAGAACTCTTGAATTCAAGGGTGACAATGCTCCTGTGACCTGCATGAGCTGCTGGGTCCAAAGACAAAGGGAGATTTTAAGTAGTCACCCACAGCGCTGACTTGGATGGCTGTGTTGTCACCAGTCCCCGCGACAGAAATAGCCTCGTCACAGCAGTCCCCATGGTTTGGTCACACTTGCTCCAGAGGTTGGAGGTGCAGGTTTTGGCTTCAATCCTGCTTTGTGCAATCACGTCCTCTCTCCCATCTCTAGCTGCTCATGCCCTTTGCACGCCACGGGCCACCCTGTCCGCATGCTGTGTGGGAGACCCTGCTGCAAACTGCCCGGCTAAAAAAATCCTCTAGAAGAAAAGGGGTTGTTTTGATCCCAGTTCCTTTTTTCGGTTCCCAGCGCGGCCTCCGAAGCAGCCGGGTGAGCGCAGGCGAGGGAGGCTGCTGCCCGCAGCGCTGATGGGCAGCAGGGCACACGAGGCCTCCAAGCTCAGCGCTGCCTCCAAAACCCCTGGCCCAGCTTGACCAGGCCGGGCGTTGGCGTTGGGGCAGTCCCAGCCACTGTGAGGGGACATCATGGCTGCCATGGGGCTGTCATGGCTGCTATGGGGCTGCCATGGCTGCCAAGGGATGCCCGACACAGACACAGCTCCGCAGCTCTGTGTGGCTGCTAAGGACTGTGCCGCGCCTGGGGCTTGGTGATATATCGAAAACAAGGGTTTCTATACGGGTGATATATAGAAAACAAGGGTTTCTTCTTCACGGGTGGAAGTGAGATTTGAATTTTCTACTGCTCAGGCAGAGGAGAAAGTGTTTGGCTGTAGTGAATCTTCACAGCATATTTAAGTGCACTTTGTTTCACTGTGTACCTCAAATTTAAAACACTATTCATCATATCGAGTACCTCAGTGAGAAGTAGTGAAGCCTTTGGCTTTGGTTTCAATTTTTTTTTTCTATATATCATGGCATGGCTCTATAAAATGTCAACCATGAATCCATCCAGACTACTGAAATCTGACAGCCTTCCTTCCTGGAGCACCCGGAGTGAATTCCTTCTGAATTGTAGTGAGGATGTTGAGTTTGCAGGCAAGGAGTCAGCGCAGCATTTTGGTGGCTTTTGAATTGCAAGAATATGTCACTACGTACATGATATGCTGAGCAGTAATGGAGAGGTCCTAGGCTGCATCAAAAAGAACCAGAGAAGTTTAAGAAATGCATATTTTTCTGAGCAACAGTTACTTCTGATAGGGTTGCATTTTGAATAATCCTGTAGCTACAGCATGCAGCAGTAGAACAGAATTGTTTACCACGTAAGTAAAGTCAAGTCGAGTAAAACTTGTAAGAATAAAGCTAGAACTAGACCCAAAAGAAGGCATGAAGAGAAATTCTGCTTCAGCTGTGAGTTTATGCTTATCCAAATTTAACCTGCTCTTTGAAAACTGCTCATGTTCAGCTTGCAGACTGGATGCCTTTCAGATGGCAAGCCCCGGCGAGAAACGTGCTTCCTCCCAGTGCTTATACAGTGAATGTTTGACTTTGAACTGTGACATTTCTAGACACTTTTGACCTTTATTGATGCTTTATTGACCTCTAGATCACTATTTCTGTAACCCCTGAATTCATATGACTAAGTATTAAAATTCACACATCGTTCACAATCACCATCTTTTTCATATTGTGTTATACTCTTTTTACTTTTCTTTTTAAGTCATCTTTATGCTAGCATGGTACCTATAGGCAGTGTTCTCACCAGTCATTATGACGGCTTCATGTTTCTGTATTGAGACTGAACTCTATGTTTGTCTAATACCATGAATTAATATCTTTCAGCACCCTCAGATTCAGAAGGAGTCCCAATATATCAAATACTTATGCTGTGATGATCAAGCAACTCTGCATCAGTGGGTAACGGGTATAAGAATTGCCAAGGTGAGATTTTAAAAGTAAATTTCTTTAAATATATTTTCCATGGAACTGTTAGGTCCTGCCTCCCTCAGATAATCTAACAGCTAGAGATATGATTTTGCTAAGAATGGATATTTATACCCTTGAAGAGAATAAGGCCATGACTTCAGTGTTTACTAAAGATTTGAGTGTTATGAGTGTGTTTTTCTCATTAACATGTAAGAGTGATTTTTGTAGTTAGAAAATTAACACACCATAATGTGGCATAATGATGCTATGGCTAAAGGTGGTCAGATTCTGGTCAATCCATCTACGACATTTCTAAGACATTTCTATCCCAGTTATCTCCACACCTTGTTCAAAAAGATCCTGATTTTATTTAGTATAAACCACTAAGGGAGATGAGCTTATACCGATATAAGCAGGCTATGACCTGCTGTTCTTAGATATACATTCTTTTATACCATTTCTGCTACTATACTAGAGCCAACAAAGTTGTCGGGTGGACAGCAAAGTAGTTCTTGTTTTAGAGCTTTTTGCTCTAGAGGCCAGGGCTCAACATCCAGGTCTCCAGCTCTATAATACTTGGAAAGCATTGGAAAAGGATATTTATTGAGCATGGTTGGTTTTAAAGTCAAGATGTTTACAGATACTGAAATGAACATACTAGGTGAGAGTGATATCAGTAGGACTGCATTTGGCCGTGGGGATTAATGTATTTGGGTTTTTTTGTGCTAGTGTGGAGATGCTTTGCACCTGGTCCTGTAGAGAGATGGGGCAACACTTCCAGAAGCAGTTGCTATTTACCAAAGCTGGGCAGGAAGGAAGCGGGATCAGGAGCGTTGTCTGAGAGCAGAAGGAATGCTCGGCCTATTTTAAGCTTAATACCAAGCCGTATTGTTCTGATTGTTTTGCAGTATGGCAAGACACTATATGGGAACTACAAATGTGCAGTGAAGAGAGCTGGCCTGGCTCCTCGCTGGCCAAATCCAGGGACTATGGAACCAGCGGTGTCTGCAGGATCCTCATCAAAAGGTACCAGTGCTGGCCGAACAGTTGAAACCATAACTGCACTTTGCATTAAATATATTGATCTACATGCAGTCACAAAATAAAGGACAACAAAACAGTTATTCACAGTTTTGGTTAACAGCACAAAAACATAACCCTCTTTTCCCTCCCTCCTCCTTGTTTTTGTCACAGGCTCTGTTCAGGCAAATGGACAGATTCCCCAAACTATTCCTCCTTCCAGTACAGAGCTTTCAAGGGAGCAGAAGAAAGAGGATACATCAGAAGCACAGGTCAGCAGATAGCCGTGGTGAACCCGTTATATTTCACTAAGGAACCATTTCTTCAAGCTTGTTCTTTACCAGCAACCCCCCCTCTCCAAGAGCTGTGCTGAGGACTTGGCCGCTGGGCAGCGGCTGCCTTCCTGCAGCTGCTCCTTCCTCCTGCTTCACACACGGAGGCTGCACGTGCAGGGAAGCGGCGCAGCCATCACGGCTGAGGACACGGCAGCCGCTGCCCTCCTCCTTCAGAGCAAGCAGCTGGGAGCTCGTGCAGCAGAAATAGGGAAATGTGGCCTGGGACAGGCTCAGCGAGTCTTTGCTGCCACAACCTTGGTGCCATTTTCTGTCTTCACCAGAAAACAGGCCTTGGCCTGGTAACACAAAAGCTTCAGTAGTTTTTAGCAGGAAACACTGTTTATGTCTGAAGATATGCATGTAAGAAAGGAGAAAGTATAGAAGGACAAATACTACATGTTTTCATTACAATATCATTTTAAATTTAATTTATAGGAGTAAATGCACACCTAAATTATGCTCCAAATGTTGCCCACTTGCTCCCTCTCCAACTCAAAAACATATCGGAAGATACAGTGTGGAAACTTCAAAAACATACATGTGTACTACAGAAAAAAAACATTTATTTGTTGTTGGTTATTTATTTGTATCTCTCCATCTTGCATAAAAATATCAGGACAGGACAAATAAAACCATGAAGTCCTAGGATTTTTCTGTCATTTCCATAATGTGTCCTACACATCTTGTTCACATCTTATTTCTATCTCTGAATTCCTCCTTTAAAAAACGTTCTTTATTCTGAACTGTACTCTTGAATACATTGTATTCTCAGAATGGAGGCAGCAATTTCCTCTTCATTTTGTCTAATTTACTTGCTTCTTTCTAGGCAAGGAGAGAGGTAGCAGAGAAGGCGAGTGTGCTGTGCCTAGCTAATTCCTGTATTAGTCAATAGTGCTGAGCACAGGGTTGCGGAGCGCTTTTCCTTAGTGGAAGCAAACCTGTTTCCTCCTTCTGGTCGTGGTTTCTGCAAGCCTGGGACCCGAGGAGGCAGTTGAAGTCTTTCAGGCTGCACTGTGTTACAGCTGGAGCACTAGGTTAGCTAGGTTTAAGCTGATAAATTAGCATAGCTAGAACTGAATGTAGTATGAGGCATATTCAGGAGAGGAGACTTCTGCACGGATTTACAAGAGCAGATGTAAAAGCAGAAAGTGCAGGTTAGTTTGCATGATTTCATGGAAATTGTCAGCAGCTACCAGCTGCCGTCTAAAAATATGGAGAGAAAATTATGCTCAGACATTGCCAAATGGGCTATATTTATCTTCAGAGCAACACTAGCAAACAGAACTCAAAAGATGCACCACCTAAATGCTGCTGGATGTTTTAACTCAGTTCTAGACTAGAGAGTGATCAGAGGATTTAACGTCTACTAACCTGGCAAATGTGACTAGAATTTAATGGCTTTGGGGCTTTTTTTGTCATTAATTGTTTTGATGAGGAGAGTGTGTGGGGCCAGTGAATCTAGACATACTCGCTATAAATTCCCAATTGTTTCTCCTTCTCCTCAGCTCACAACTGTTGTGACTAGTAACCAGTTTAGCAGAGATCAGTCCTGATTGTTTCAGCTTTATCCAGACACCCAGCAGTCACAGCTAGAGAGGGAGACAGTGGGGAAGACAACCAAAAATCACATCTGCTCTTTATGTCCCCCATACTTGGGTCACCTCTCCTATATTTTCATGTAACTTCCCTGCTCTTAGGCAGGGACAGTAGTGTCCAAATGCACTGACTGTTTTGTCCTTTTATTCCTTCTGTTTGATAAAGGCCAAGTCAAACGGTGTCACTGCAGCCGGCCTGGCACAACCAGTGATGAGGCCGCAGAATAAGAAGGGCTCCCTGCAGCCTCCGCCGCCACCTGAACGGCGCTCGTCTGCGATTGCTGCGTCGCCACTTCTGCCCCCCAAAGTCAAACGAGACAGCGGTGTCTTCCTAACAGATCCAGACAGCTTTCCAGCCCCGCCACCTTCGCTGAGGCTGGATTTGCCGCCGCCACCGCCGGAGCTGTGTGAACCGCCCCCTAACTTTGTGCCTCCGCCGCCGCCGTCCTGCAGCGGCAGTAACGGAGACTTGTCCCTTCCGCCGCCACCTCCGCCTGTCCCCACCAAGGTGCTGCCTGTGACAAAGAAGCCTGTGCCACTTCCTCCAAAAAGGCAGGAAAACGCAGGACAAGACGGAGAGCCACAGGCAGCCGGGCCACCTCCCTTTGGGGGTGGAGGCAAACAGGTAGATTTCATGTCTGACCTAATGAAAGCCCTTGAGAAGAAAAGGGGCAGCAGCTCCTGAACTCCGAGGGCAGAGGGACTTTAAGACATGACTGTTGGTGTTTGGTGTCACGGGACGTGGTGTGGGATGAGGCTCCGCCAGGAGGATTCTCTCCAAAGCCTCCTGCGCTCAGCCCCTACCATGTCCCCACAACCTGCTCCTTCCCTCCCCATTGCCACTACTGCAGCACCAGACCCAGGTGAGGAATTGGGGATAGGCTCTCGCTTCCCTCCATCAGGATGGGTTGGTGGAGCAGCACGTGCAGTGCCAGGCAGCAAGTCAAGTGCATCGTCTTGGGAGTCTCACCTTGCCTTGTGAGAACTGGAGCTGAAGGAAAGTCTCTTCTCACAGAATTTCCCTCAAAGATTTTTTTTTTTTTAATCAGAGAAGCCCAAGTTATTTCACATTTCAATCAAAACTCGTCTTTTTCCCAAAATGAGGCTTATCTTAAAAAGAAACATCCCAGACAGATAGCCCTGAGAGGAAAGGCATGACAAGGGCCATTCCCAAAGAGTATCACCCCAAGTGTTAAACACCACTGTTTCCATACACAACTCCAATCATGACGTCAGCACTCACCTTTATTCCATTAAATATCATTTTTTTGGTTAATTTTAGATCAAGACAATTTTTTTATCTCAAAATGTTGTATGCTTCCCCTGATAAACAGCGTGTTTTTTTTTTCCCCTGTTGGTTAATATTTGCCTTCAAGCTGTACCTAGAAATAGTCTGTTTCCATAAAGACTTTGTAATTATCTTGTATCTGGTAAGAACATCTCCTCCTACATACTTTTTTTTCATTTGTTCTCCATTTTAATTCTCCATTGTTATTACATCTCAAATAAAAGTATCTTCTATTTCATATCTGCAAAAAGTGTCATAGTTAATGAACAGGCATTTTACTGGAAATGAGTACCACAGAACTTCAAATATTTTAAAAACTTTCTGCCTGCATCTTGTAGTTTGCTTATTTTTTTCATTTACTTCATACCTGTCTCATGCACATGATCTTCTGTGATACCATAAATAACATACTGTTGTTTTCCAAGTTTGGCAGTATGGAAGTATTTTCGTTGAGAGCTGCTTGCATCCCTTGCCTCCATCTTCAAGAAAAAATGCCTGTCATCCTAGTAAGTCTCACATTATTGCCAGACAAATCCCTTTCTGATTTGATTATTTTTTTCCCTTCTGGTCTAACCTGCATAATTTGGAAGATGCGGGAATCTCACAAACAATCTAGGATGAGAGGAAATGGCCTCAAGTTGCACCAGGGGAGGTTCAGGTTAGATAATAGGAAAAAAAAATCTACATGGAAAGAGCAGTGAAGCAGTGGAACAGGCTCCCCAAGGAAGTGCAGGAGTCACCATCCCTGGCAGTGGTGAAGAAATGTGTAGAAACTGCCCAGGGAAGTTGTGAAGTCTCCTTCTCTGGAGATCTTCAAAACCCGCCTGGATGCCACCCTGTGCCACATGCTCTAGGTGTCCCTGCTGGAGCAGGAAGGTTGGACTAGATGATCTGTAGAGGTCCCTTCCAGCCTTGAACATTCTGTGATTCTGTGAGATGAGGCCTGAGGGACGTGGGTTAGCAGGCATGGTGGGGATGGGTTTACGGTTGGACTTCGATGACCTTGAAGTTCTTTTCCAACCATAATCACTGTCATTTGCCCTTACCAGCTCTTGTGACCAACAGATGAGAGCTCCTCAGGGAGAGAAGATGAACGATTCATTTTTGTCAGTATCTGCCTCTTGCCCTATTTCTTCCCTTTTCTTTACTACTGCAATTTTTCTTTTTTTATACGTTTGCAGTGAGTTATAATTTGTCTACTCAACAATGTTACACAAAAGAAAAAGTTGAGATCTCTTCAAAACAAAAAGAACCAAAGCCTACAGAAAACTCCAGAAATCAGTTAAAATACTGAGAAAATTAGACATACCTAGGTACATACTTGCATTGAATTGCTGAAAGTGTTCAAGTGCTCAAAAGTTCCTTTCAAAGAACAGAACAGAATTACCATCGTGAGGACACAATTATCTGGCATTATTCATTAGAAAAAAAATGATGCTGCAAAATACGAAAAAAAATTCCTCTCCAAGAATATGGTTTATAGAGCAGAAACTTTACATCAAAACATTTCTAAAAAAACAGAAATTAGTCCCTCCTCCTCCTATTTAACCTATTGCTATACAAAATTGCCTTATTCCAGTTGAATTAGGTAATATTAAAAGCAGAATTTTAGCTTAAAAGGATTAGAAATAACAGCATGTTATTTTTAACCTTTTTTCCATACCTCAAATAGAAGCAGTCTGTGATTTAACCCCAAAGGAACTTCTTTTAATTGCTTAAAATTTGGTCAGGATCTTCATAAAACTGGTTACATATATATACACTCATATTTTAACACATCACTTCTATTTGAACAACTGTGTATGTGCAGTTCCTCAATAACTGTGCTGATTACAGTCACCAAAGACATTCAAATCTTCTTTTGTCTCTGAAAAATTTCTATTATTTCTATTATGTCCATCAAATTCCTAGTAATACTGAACTGTTTTTTCCTGCTAACCATATTTCTAGAAATGGCTTTGTGAAATGTTAATTATGCCACTGAATAGCCTCTGTTTTGGAGTTAAGTGGCACTCAGGAACTTGGCACAATCCAATTTGGACTTGAGGAGAGTCAAGGCAACGTCAAGAAGTAACAGAACCCTCAAACAAGTGATTTTTGCTGTAAACCTTCTAGTGTAACATTGCACCTGACTGATCATTTATCAATTTGGTTTAATTACAGACTGCTTTTTGTGATGTGTTACCTGAGTGTCAAGGACGAATGAACAACAGGATCCAATTCACAAAACAAAGACCATCTCTCCCCTTTGCTATCCTAAAGACTATTAAACAACAGTTGCAGATGAAATTAATTATTTTCTCCAAACCAGTTTTCTCTTGCAGCATCATATGGCTGGATATGAAAGACACAACCGCCTGAATATGCAAATAATGAAAGTCTTTGAAAGTCCTTTTCCATGGCAAACGGTAGAAATTTCCTGGCTCATTATATCTTTTTCTTGGGAGTTCAATGGAATGCAGCAAGGGCAAAGAAAAAACATGATATGCAGTAGGATCTGAGCCCAAGATCATCCCTATTCCAGGTCTGCAAAAGACTTTGGAATATTTATATTTTCAGAACACAAATATTTTTGTAGAATGTGAAATTTATTTGGAGAGTATTTCACAGTATGTTCACAGTATGTATGTGAAAACATTCATCAAAATACTGTATAATTAAAACTTGCATATATGGATTTTAAATTGACCAGCCATTAAAATTCGCAGAGATCTGACCAGTAAAACCTGATTTCTGAGATAACTGTGATAGTTTGGCAGCATTGCATTACTGAGATTCAAGTGATTGTACAGATGAAGAATTATAAATAGAATATTAATTGCTAATGCAATCATACACAGTAGTCCATTTCCTTATTTTTTATCAAGTTAATTTAGAGAGCAGCAGATTCCAGTCCACAAAGAATAAAGAGAAGTTCCTGTGAGTGGATTCCTTAATCCCATTTGAAGGCCCGAGCTCTGATCCTGGTCGTCTTCTCATAGAGCTCAGGATGAGCAGCTTACTTTAAGATCTCGGGCCCAACCTGGGGGACGTAGAGAATAACCCACCTTCTCTGCAGCCTGTTGTCTATGAAAGGGATGTTGTAAAACCTGCTGTAGGAGGTGAACCTGGAAACAAGTAAAACAGATACATTTTTATACAAGATATTTTCCTCTAAATAAGAAAAAGTCTCTGCCACATCATTCAAAGCACTCTCCTGGCTCTAGAAATTATTCCATTAATTGCTTACTATTACTAGTGCTATCAGTTTTGTAACAATACATATTGTAACTGATGGCTTTAATAATCATATCAATATGATTAATAGTTACTGTTACTATATAGTACACTGTTGCTCAGATTGTAGTCAGATTCAAAGTGTACACAGTATTTTAAAATATGTACATAAATATGCCAAGAAAGGAATAGCAATTTTACCTCTGAAAAATCATTCAAATTTGCTTTTTGTATTGCTGATTCTGCCATCCAGTTCCTAAGCACATACCTAGGGTTAACACCTGAAAACCAAAAATAAATCATGTTAAATTCAGTTACACACGTTCAATAAAAGTAAAAAGCAGTACACAAGTCACTGAAACCTCTAGAAAAACTTGCAGTCCAGAAAAAATGGCAAAAAGTAAAGCGAATTAATCTATTCATTTTTATACAGATCCATTAACTTGTACAAGTACCAAAGACAAGGAACCATTGCTTATGTCTAATATATATATATTTAAAAAAAAGGTATTGAATGTCACATTGGTAGAAGAATTTCAAAATATGAATTTCATCAGCTCCTCTCCTTCTTGTTCATGTTCCAATAGGATTGTATGAAAGAAATGTTAATTCCAACTTCGCATTTTATATAGTATGAATATATTTATTTCAAAGAAATCCATGGCTACATAAAACCTGTAAAAAAATCCATAGTTATATATTCTTATAAATATTCCTAAAACATATTTGAAAGAGGACACTGGAGAAAGCCTTGCATTCATCAAAAAAATCCATAGTTATATATTCTTATAAATATTCCTAAAACATATTTGAAAGAGGACACTGGAGAAAGCCTTGCATTCATCAAAACCAAAGGCCTCTAAACCATTTGCTCACCATACCCTATTTCACTCTATTCTATTCCTCGAATCAAGGCTATGACCTTATTTTATTTACAAATAATAAATGAAGAGAGAGAGGATCTAAAATGTATTATTCCCTTTTCTCACCTCACTCTATTCTTGTATCTCCTCAAAACCACAAACCTGATCTGTGCATCTTGCAGCTGACTGACCAAGACAACTGATGTCTTTGGAAAAAAAAATGTTGACTTGTTTTTCCTAAGGTTTTGACGACAGGAGAAACTTCATAAACCTGTGATAACTCCCTGGATAGAATGAGTGCTGAGTCGTGTGAGCAGAGCTCTTTGTAACATGCACGGCTTCTGAAAAGTACCAGTTACCAGCTAACCAACTAGAATTTACTGAAGTTATATAATCAGTGAACAAAGACTTGTGTAATTATTTTATGTATCACAACACAACTGCATTCTTTATGCTGGTAAATGAATTATAGCAGTTCTAAGCCACACGATTTGTCATAAAGTGGCATTACACAATGGGTCTTCACAATATTTAGGAAAAAAAAGACAAAAAAGGTAAATGACAAAAATGACTTTCTGCTGTAAGCAGTGATCTCCAACCACGAGTGTTCCTGCCAGAACAAAGACGGTGACGCTCTTATGAAAGAAGGATGTGGGCTGAATCCTAAAGCACCTCGTCTCAGGTGGCACTGTCACTTCTGAAACTAGCCCAAGGCCAGGCAGAGGAACAGCTGCCCCTGCACGGTATGAGTTGTCCAACTCAAGCTGATGACCTTCTAGCACCCGGTGCAGGTAGTGGCTTCCTTCAAAATTAAGGCAATCCATCTAGATACAGACTTTCTTCTTGTTCACAGGACAGTGACATTCTCTATGTATTAAACAAAATATTTAAACATATTAAACAAAAGCCAACGATTTGCTGCTGTGAATCCTGGCCATCTCTACATAGTCACATCAACAATCTTCCCTAACCACTCAAAAAAATGTTATCTTCCCTCTTGGCAAAATGATTTGCTCTGGACAAGTATTTGATTTAAGCCAATAAATGGATTTTCAGCAGTGAAGTAGGATAATATAAAAAGTGTATTAAAAAGGTGAATAAGTTATGTATGACTCATGGTTTCAATGTGAATTATAATTTTTGGTATGACTCATATTAGCAGGAGAATATTCGTCCCAGGAAAATATTCCTAACAATTGCAAATTGACACGTTTCACAGTGGAGATAAAAATATCTCAAATTAAAATAAGTGACAAGAGAATTATGAAAGAATAAGATAAATACAGAAAGAAAAGAATAAAGAAGAATTTCTAAAAAGAAAATTGCGCCCTTATGGAGTTTGATGATTTATCCTACAATTTTTTTAATAAAGAAACAAGATGACAGACTTGGAATCTGCATAAACTCCTAAGGATCTAAGTTAATAGAGTACAAGATAACACACTACTAAGAACTAAAAACTAAAGAATGACAGAAAAAGACAAAATAACTAAGTGACAATTTCAGATGCTTTAAGGTAACATCCAGCAATGCAGGACACCACGGTGAAGCTCAGCTTGAGAAAACACGATACAACAACCAAGTGCCCATAAGTCAATAATTCTTAAGTTCTCAAAGGCAAAGAAACTGAAAAAAAACAAATCAAGTCCCCAGGAACCACAGCAGGCATCAAGTCAGAGACCTGGCAACTCCTGACATGGAAACTCCAAAACATAGGGAAAGAAAAAGAGCCAATCTCTATAGTCACATTCGGTGTGACATAGCTCAGAGTTCTCTTTATGGATATTGACATAGGGAAAGTCCTCTGGTCTTTATGATGTGTGATTTCAACCACTGCACATATGAACAGCCCCAGGCTCTGTCACCCAAAGACAGCAAAATTGATGGAAGAGCCACTTGCACGAGGGGCCCTGGTGCGTTTCCATTATCTCATGCCCTTAGACATCAGTCAACTGATACACCTATGACTGTATGCACAACAAGAAGCATAAAGGGTCAGACATTTTAAAGAGAAAAATAGTGAGTCTTGATATTTAGTGACAAATAACAGTAATAAATATAAAAAAGTATAAGATTAATATTAAAATATTAAAACAACATTAAAATAGAAATATTAAAAATAATAATAAATAGTCTAGATATTTAGTGATAAAATCCAGATCAAGTAAACATCCTAAATGTCTAGACTTCAAACCCAGATTCCAACATTGCTCATTTCAACTTAAATTCAGTGGGACTGTTCAAGTAAGCAGAGGAAAGCCACAACATCAAAAGTGAGCAGCATTCTTCCATTTTAAACAAGCAGCAAAGATTTAATGCTGCACTGCAGAAAGAAGTGCAGGTTATTATAACATAGAAGGGTAAGCTGTACTTCACAATTTTTGGATCACTGTTCAGTGTTTGGCTTTAAATAGATACTGAAATTAGGAACAATACTTCTTATCCTTCAAATGACTATAATAATGTGCACTCATGAATATGTTCTCTCTAAAGTGAAATGCCACTGCAAAGATATGAAGGGCTTTTCTTACATGTAAATGAATTTCTTCAAGTTGGTTATTTAAGTTAAATATTTCTTCATAAATTCAAACAGTGAAATTAAGATTTTTCTTCTGCTTTTTTGGGGAAAGGGATTTTCACTAAGGATGAAGAAAGGCCTAGATTAGCCAGGGAACTTCATAATGATTTGATCTGGGTTGGAAGTATATATGTATGCACAGCCTAGCCACATGCACAGGGCTAGATCCTAATCACAACACTGGGTGAAACTGGAGATAGCTACAGAGACTTCATAGTATGACAAGATTAGCAACAGTATAATATGACTATCGCTTATCCTCAAGAAGAAAAATAACTAACTCTAAAGAAACGCATGTAAAATAGTTAGTTGCCATCACTAAATACACTATTGCGGGGGGGAATGTGGGGAATTTTGAGAAATACAGCTTGAAAAGGTAGAAGAAAAAAGTCAATGGGGAAAAAAAGGGTAAAAAATCCCTCAAGAATAAAAGAAAAGGGGTGGAAGGAACTTTCCCATACATATATATATATATATATATTTTAAATCTCTGATAATCAAGTTTGCTAGTGCATCTGATAAAGAAATGAAGCTATCCTCAGACCATTTTTTGACACAGTCACCATTATATCATTTATTTAAATGAAAACACTTAGTGCATGGACTGTGAGGGCTGGGGAATACATTATCAAAACTTCCTAATTTTCTGTACAGCTCTATAAGCTTGTTTCACTTACTTGCCATTCTTTTTCTTCTCTTTGTGTCAGAATCACCTTTGTTACTAAAAATAGAAAAAAAGTATATGTCAGTGTTGCTCATTCTACTTTTCTTGCTCATGCCATATTTCCACTTTCTTGTCTTTCACTACAATAATAACCTACTGTAAACAAAAAACAAGCAAGTAATTTCACTGTTGGAACTACAAGAACTAAACAAATGTTAACTTGATTTTTTTTCATGTTTCTGCTAATCCTTTTCAAGGCATTAACCATGAAATATCCAGTTTCCATCTTGCCAGACCTGCAATACACACATTTCCTCTTAAAAAAAAAGGTCATCCGCCATACAGTAGCTGACTGCAATTAACCATAATGAAAACACTCTTAATAGTTTGTTTCACACTGTAGGTCTACATTTTGTACCCCACTCTTAAGTTGTAAGTCCATATATGATATAGTTACACACCAACAAAAGTGACATTCACTCTTCTAGTGGGTTTCACAAGTTCCAAATCCACAAGACAGCTGTGATATATAACATACTTATACATATATATATACACACACTCTAAATATTTAAATTTTTATATATATGTATGTGCATATATATATTTATAAATCAAAAGTACAGCTATAATACTAAATATGACTAAAAAACGCTGTCTGTGAGTTTCAGAGCATGCTCAGTTTATCCAACTTGGCTTTTGTTCTTTAAATCTGAAATTGATATAACTAGTGAGCGTTACGCTTAATTATTTTTAAAAATATGTTATTTCAAATCTATTAAAATCATGTAGGGTTCTGCTGTTGTGTTTAGGGGAGGCAGGTGTAAATCTTTAAGAAAGATGATACTTGAAAAATATCGCACACTTTCTGCTAAGTTTTGCTTCTGATACTGATCTCCCTGACAACTGTATTAATAGTCTACAAGTTCTTGATACATATATTTTTCACTACTATTAGCTATGCACAGCATACATGAGTATGAGAAATGAAAGTTTTCTTTATTGATATATGACAAAATTACAGGTAGGAAGTTCTAACATAAAAGTCACTAGTTAAGCAATACTAGTGGCTTCCAAATACACTCTCTGCATTCACATCTGCACCACATCCACTCCCTGCCATTCTAAGACAGCACTAGAATAGATGCAAAATGGATTTGAAAAAAAAAAAAAAAGAAAAAAAGAAAAAAAAAACCAGTATTAACAGCAGTTATGCTGTTACTGCTATGTGTTTCCCAGCCTGAATTTCAGATTTCTGCAATGAATCTAAAGGAGTGATATTGTACAAACCTATTAACTGAAGAAATGCAATTGAATGATCACTAAAGAACAACAAACACCGACCACTCCTCCCATGTCATTTTTTATATACCCAAGTGTGGAAGCAGAACTACACTACAATCAGATAATACAGTCCAATTATGTAATTACTACTGAAGCTGTGAGCATCTAGAACCATACAGACAAGAAGGAGTTCAAAGCATATCTGAAACGAGGTTTTTGGACCCACAAAAGATTATGAAAAATCCGACCCAAGTCACTGTAGGAGGCACTGAATTTCCTGCTGCAGACCTGCTGTTACTGCACCAGACTTACTGATTGAACCTCAAGAGGTACATAGCAACCCACTCCGGAAACAACTCGTGCTTAGCCAGATCCTGCAGAGCCCAGAACTCCTAAAGAGAAATAAATAGAGCAGAATATCAGAACATTCTCCCCATTAAGCAAAAAACAAAAAACAAGAACAATGAATGAAAAGAGGACATCGGGAACAATACGATGACCCTTTCTCCCTCAAAACTCTACTAGTATCTTTCCCTCTTTTCAAAGTTATATCTTTCAGCTAGTATGATAATTCAGCTCTATATTAATTCATGACTGTTATGCTGAATCCTACCCACATACTTCCAAGATTAAATTCCTGTTTTTCATTATCTTCTGACTTTTTTTTTAGGTGCCACTCTTTTGTGAGCTTGCTAAGTATTTATAAATATTTTTTTTGCCCAAACTGTGGGGTAATGAGAAGATACTGAAAGCGTGTGGAGAAAGAGGCTAATTTAAAGTCTACAGGCACAGGAGAAGACTGTGGTGATTAACAGAGACTGGAGGAGGAGAGGAAGGGCGAAGAGAAAATCTGGAAATGGAAAAGAGGCGGGAACCAGCATTTGGGGTAACCAGCTCCAGCGCTGGACAACAACCACAAACTCAACCTCCCTGGCAGGCTACACTGGGTCAATAACTGTGTTATACAACCATTGCCAACTAAGGCTGCAGACAGTCCTCAGAGTGGCAGCAAGGTCACAAGTTACACTAAGATCTATAAATCAGATTCCAAGACAGACAGAAATAAATTCAAAGTTAGGGAAAGGCAAGAAAGCTTCCCAGTCTGTGCCTTCAAATGGGAGACATGCAGCTGCAACTTGGTTGTTGCTCCATGGTGCAGGAGGGAGATTTCCATTCTTCCTGGTACATGTAGGTTGTTAAAAATGGAAAAAAATCCCTCTTATTCTGTGACAAAAAACTCTTACAAACACACTCATCTCCTCTCCATACAAATGATTATTTCCTACAGTTGTTGAATTTTTGTTGCTTACCACTAGAAAAATCTCTTTTTTTAAAATTATTAGGGGCTTCAGGCTCATGGAAAGAGTTAGATAAAACTCCTACTTCACAGAAGAGAGGATTAAAAAGCAGAGAATTTGTTCAGATCATTTAATTATCTGGGACATAATTAGAAATAACAACTTCTTACTTTCACACTATGCTTTGCAGTCACTCTGATCCCCCCTTCAAAAATAAAAACACCCTCACCCCCTCTCTTGATGTAAATTAGATTCACAGACAAACAGAAATAAGAAGTTAGTGAAAGGCAAAAACTGTTCTCCAGGCAAAGTGATTAATACTAATACTTGCCACATGGAAACAGTAATGCCTAAAGAAAGAAAATCCTTTTGGCTCATGCAAAAACACTTTTCCCTTCCAGATCTGGTACTTATGAACTTCCTTTCCATAGTTTCCATTCTACTTTTTTTTGCAATTCTTCCTTGCTAAACATCTTGCTCCAGTTGAAACATTTCCATCATACTTCCATTTCTGAACACTGCACCGTATGCTGGCTATGAAATTCATCCCTTTCCACTGCTGGAAAGCTTTAACTCCTTTTATTTTAATATGTAGTCCTGAAGAATAATTTTAGTGGGAGTTATCAGCAGGGCAGGGTGGGATAATAAATCAAGCAGGACCTATGATGTGCATTCTGTGTTTGGGCTACATTTAGGATCAATTTTATGTCCAGCACAGAGGCCATGATAGGCTGAGATTAAATCAAGAGTTCATGAGGTGTGACTTCACTGCTCATTGAGACAAGCTGATGGACTTGGTAAATACAGGTTTAAGCCACCTGCTAATTCCATTTCAGGTAAACTTGATGGGTTCAAGACTGAAATTGCTCACATAAGCCCTGTCTAACTTTGCTTATGTCTTGTCTTGTATCGCACCTATACCAGAGGCTGAAAATTTGACCTCAGCTCTCTTCATTAACATATCCTTCATAATCAGACACAGAATTAACAGAGAATAATAAACAGGAGATACAGGTCCCTCAGTGTCCCTGTTCCCTAACAATGCTACAATTGCACATGTTTCCCAGGAGAGTCACAGCTTCTGGGATTCTCTGTTATATCTGGGATCCCTCCTTGTATCAATGTTACACTCAACCTGACTTGATATTGAGCATTCCTAAAAGGGGGTGTATTAATTAATACCTCAGGAATATGGAGTTCCTTCAACTGGTCTTCAGTAATTTCGCTGAGCTCTCGAAACGTCATTGTAAAATCAGATTTTGTATCTTCCATGAGCTAGTGAAATTAATACAGTTCCATCAGTGTTTTTAAAGGATTAGATATCCATTTCAGATGTTGGAAAAATAACAAAAAAAAAAAAAAACCCAAAAAACCCCCAGCAAACTCACTTTTAGGAGAAAAGCGATCAAATAGTTATCATTCTCATTCTCCCCAAGAAGACCCAGTTTTCTTTTGAATAGTTCTGTAAAACTGAAAAACAGTAACAAAAGTATGTAAATGGTCACTCAACCTATTCTACAATATTAACACTACAAATTTTAAGTTCTAGAACATACCGGCTGTAGTAGTGTTTACCATATTCCTCTAGAATCTGTGAAGCTCTGTAAAAGCAAATGTAAAATTCGACAGAATTACAACAGTACTGTGCTGTGGACAGCAGCCCTGTTCTACACAAAAGGAGAAAAACTTCTGTTTGATATCTAACAACTTCCATATTCTCAATCAAATGAGATTTGCAGCCAAGGGGAAACATTCTAACGGGCTTCAAATACACACACACAGCTGCTGCAAAGATGAAAGAAACACAAATTCTCTTTTGTTTTCACAGTAAGAAATCACGAGTTTAAACTGCGCAAACAAGATTCATATTGGGAATACTTCCTCATCATTTAGGGAGATTGAGGAAGGCACAAGCAGGCATCTTTAAAAACAAAATGTATAAACTTGCTATAGGAAACTACGGGTAAAGGCCCTACACTGGGGAAAGGAGAATGGCCCAGACAACATCTTGAGTTGCTTTCCTGTCATATCTTGCCGATTTATAACTACTGGGAAAAAAAAAAGTCCTTCCCTCCCTCCACCTTATTCTGGCCAATAACTAATTCAGAATCAATTTCCATTTAGAAATCAGATCTTAAAAGCTAACCCATCTCTCTCCTAAGCAGATGGTGATTAGAGTCTCTCCCATCTCTCCAGTTCTTTTAAGTGTTAAGATATTTTAAGGATTACTTACAGCTGCTTTTGCCTGGGATCCAATAAAGGTTTTAGAGCTTGTAACAGCTTGTTCAGATTAAACAGTCCAACATTCGCCTGGTTTCCTATTTTATACCTCCCTTCATCATCAGATGTGTTTGGAACAAAATCTGTTTCAAACAAAAAAATTACTTTTCTACAATGGAATAATTAGAATAAATAAGCAATGTTACAATAGTGATTAAACATTTTGTTTGTTTGTTTAAACAGCATACTAATAAAAGCCCTGAAGGTGCTAGATATTTAAAATCAGAATAGAAGCAAATCTATTTAGACTAGATTAACTCAGTATCTAATATTTGCAAATACTCATGAAGGACATATCCTTCGTGAACAAGTTTCCAGATGTCACAAGTGGTATCTTGCTACTTGAAGGTACAAAATGATGTTAAAACAGAAACAGACTATTTTTACACTAACAACAGTTCTTTGTTTAGCATGCTTTACTACATATAACAGACCAAAAAAAAATCATACATTCAGATTCAGGATTTATGTACATTTTTTCCAAAAGTAATGCCTTTTTTTTTTAAACAAAATAGGCTACTTGAAGATTTCTTTAGTTGTATAACCAAGCTTTATAGGAGTAAGATGTTCATGAAACGGTATTTAGTAGAGACATTTCATCATCAAAAATTTTAAAACATTAAATGGAACCTACAGAGTGCATCAAAAACTGGCCTCTGATCTAGACTTACCTATTCTTTCCTAAAACACTTCAGACAATAAACAGACATACTGAGAGTAATTTAAACAGTTTTCATTGAGAGAAATGACACAATTTAATAAATAGAATCTATTCCAAGTCAAAAGATGCCTTCAAAAACATCAGCTGTACTCACTTGGATCATAGGAGTCCATAAATCCAAATGGACCATAATCTATTGTTATGGATAATAAGCTGAAGTTATCTGTATTACATACACCTGGAATCAAACAACAAAGAAAACCACAATTCTGTAGTCTAGAAAATTTGCTGTGAAATCAATCCAATGGATGTAGAAAACCAGGCAAATAACTATCCCTTTTTTTCTTGATCTGGCAGGCATTTTGAGTATGAAAACTTAAGACTGTTTTCTACCTTATCTTGCTTGTGGTTTCTACACCTAGGTGGCACTGCTTCCTTTTCCTTTCAGTACAGCACAGTACTGAAACGGTATCTTGCCCATCTGATCAGATAATTTTCTTTGCCAATTCACTGTGTGCTGTATTAGCAACATAACGTTATTGAATTTTTCATAACATAAATCTGAAATAAAGGTGAACAGCACTCTATCTTATACAGTATAAAAAGTCAGGTTCTTATGCAGATGTATCAAATGCAGAATAATGTAAGCAGTTTTGAGGAGCCCACATTGTTCCCTTCCTTGCTTATGTCAAATACAGTCATACTTCCAAAAAAAAAAAAAAAAAACCAGAAAGCTATCTTAACAGTTAATAAAAAACTTGCATAATATTAATGGATATCAGATACTGCTGTAGACAAATATACCAGAAAGACTGAGAACTAAACATGCCAGTATAAAAGTATCAAAATATTTACGTATATGACCACAGACACTCCTGTAAAGTCACCACCACAACAGTATCTGCTGGAGCTTACCGTGTGCAAAACCCACCGACATCCACAGTGCAATCAGATTTGCAGTCTCCAGTACAACTGTAGAGAAAAATTCCTAAAATCAAATACATGTTTTACTTCAAGTAACAAAAACACAGAATACAATAAACAACGTAAGAAAATAATTAACTTTAGAAATATTCCACACATTCTGTTTTTAAATCTACGTCTATGTCTGTCATGACTTTTTGTTCCTGTTATTAAAAGACCATAGTTATATAAACACACACAATGGCACTAAGACATTAAAAATTCTTAAAGGGAACAGGAACAACATATATGCTATGCTTATATAAGGAAGAACATAATTCATCACCCTGTGATCACTATTGACTTAACTGAACTGCTACCAATAAATTTTCACACAGTGAAAAACTATGAAGATAAATATTCATATATTTCATTTTCAGAGAGAAACTACTGTAATTTTATACAGAAGAATATTTACCTATTTCTGCTAATAAAAACTTAAAGCTAATTTTCCTATTATTTCCTAGCTATTCCTAATTTTAAGACTTTTTAAGATTTCAGACTTAGGAAAACTTTGTATCATTTTTTCTTCAAATGATTGTGGAAAATAATTTTGAACAAAAGAAAACCCTTCTAAGAAGACTTACCAGATATCTGTTTGAATCATTCATTGCTATTGATGGAAAATGTTCTTGGATGACAAAGTCTAGCAATTTTCTGTAATAAGAAATGCAGAATTCCTTAAACAAAAATGGTACTTACAGAACTGATAATTAAAATTCTTACTTTTCAACAGTTAAAAGCTGATCTCCAGCCTGCTGCAATCAGTTATGAGAAAACAAAATCTATTTACTGCAGTGGGTTTGGGGTAAGTCATTTAAAATGCTTAGAGATAAATCCTAGTGCTGCAGTTACAAATATGCTTGGGAAATCACACAGCCTTAAGACAATTTGTGTATTAATTTTTTGGAGAACAACAGGAGAATCTGTTCTTAGATACTGTAACATCAACCTTTTACCAAAAAAAAAAAAAAAACAAAACAAAAAACAAAAAACCACAGTTTATAGGCTCAAAAAAGCTGCGGATCATTACAAGGAAAAGCTGTGTATCAGAATTCCCCTCACAGAAAGCTTTACGGCTGAATTTCTAGGAAGTTCTAGGTAAGTGGCCATTCCCAAAGCAGGGCTACACAATGTTTCCAGATGACAGGCTTGGGAAATTGGGATACAGGCCGAACAACTGCAGTGAGCGCCCACACTTCGGGATGTTGAAGGCAGTGCCTGCAGCATTGACTACATTACAAAGCTCCCACGTGCCCCACTGGTCAGAGGCCACTGGGGCTACAGGCTGGGGAGCCACAAGCGCCACCTCAGCGTGGGGCAGGAGAGCCAGACCTGTGGGGCAGGAGAGCCAGGCTGGGCCTGGACCTGTGACAGGCCTGGATGCCCGCTGGCATTGCCAGGCCTCGCACACAAACATCTCGCTGTTGCTTTCTAATCAGGTTGGTGGAGCAAACCCCCCAATTCCCCTGAAACCGTGACAATTTTATCAGAGTATCTAGCAATCCGCCCCTTTCAGGGCATGTGCAAGCCACTGCCATTGCACTTTAGCTGGTTGCCCCAGGACATCCACTCTGAGGAGACATCTCTGAAGAGGAGGTGTGGACACAGGGGCCTTGGCTGCTCCTGGCCACTCTTTCTGGGGTTCCCTCCAAAGCAGGCACGAGGGAGTCGTCTGCTCTGCACAAGCCCAAGTCGTCTGTATGTGCTTGTTAAATCCACAATGTCACAAATCCTTCGGCCAAAAACAACTACAGTGGCATCTTAAATTCAGTTCCTTAATTCAGTCTTTCAGTTTTACAACAAAAATCTGTTGCAAGATTTCAAAACAAAAGGAACACGGTGCACATTCACGCAGGAAGCCATCTCCAACAGCCAGTTACTCTCATGAACAAATGCTGCTACTTCTCTTTTTCTCTCCTTTTTAAGCATCCCAGAATAACTTCTATTGCAAGTGATCATCAATCAGTACACAGTCCCTATGGAGGAACAGCCAATACATCCTACTACTTTAAATTATTTACATGATAATTAAAAACTTGTGCCAATTGCTGGAAATGAAATAACACAGTTCTCCCATTACCAAATTAAAACTGTATTGCTAAGAGGCTTAAAATTGAACAATAACTGATTACCCAATACACTTCCCAAATTCTGCATGTTCTTGGAAACTATACATCATACAACACACTTTAGCTACTGATTTATTTCCTATTTCTGTTAATTTAGTTTTACAGGTTAAAGTGAAAAAAACAGGGCTTATTTTATATATTTACAATTTCCTCTTAAACAAAAACCATCCTGCACACAGTGATTAGCTGCCAAAACTGCAGTAGCTATACAGAATTCTAATACATTCTAATATATATTTGTCTGTTAAAAATTAATAGAGTTATTAAGAAGATTAAATTCATACCTTTGTAAATCCAGCTCCCCTGAATGAGCTAAGATTTCTAAGGATCCTATACGAAACCATGACTTGGCAAGGCGTAGAACTATTGCACCTTAAATATAAACACATGTGTTTAAATGTAAACAAGAGTTTCTGAAAATTTAAATAATTCCATAATAAAAGCAATTATATGCTGTTTATAAAGACATATAATTTACATATTCATATTTAATTCATATGAATGCTCAACATATGACAGATGCTTATGTATAACATTACTACACACACATTTTAATGATGAAGTTTAATTATCTGGAAACCAATTTGTATTTTTTACTCCTCCACATCTTCATATTTTTTATAGGTTGCACTATACCAGCAACAAAAGCAAAACTCCAGTACTGCATTAATATCAGCGTGCCATCACAGATTCTAGCAACAAAGAGACAGCCAACATAAATCATCTCTGATTTTTACCTAATTTCCAAAATAATTTGTTTGTAATGATATTTGAAAATAAAAATTATATCCCTACTACAGACTTGCCACAATCATAACAGTTTGCTTCATTTTTTTATCCTAAGCAATGTTTAAGGCTGATTTTCTCAGGAGAGGTTTTGTACCTAAATAACTGAGATGAAATCTACTGCATAGTTTTTATTACATATGTATGGGATACATTAGAATTATTTTTGCAATAGAGAATTAAGTTAGTGTTGCAATATATTATTTCCATATATATCCATTACCTCTTTCTTTCTTAGTATTTCCATTGTAAAACTGGTCTCTCCATACATCATCGTCACTTACAACTAGGCTGCATAAAACAAGAAATGAAATCTATAAAAACTTATCTTGGTAAACATAATTTACATTAAAGTCCTAGTCATATTTTATATAAATTTATGCTTATTTCTTAAAAGATTTTTTTGTCTTCACAAATGACAGGCAAATAGTAAGCTGAGCCTTACCAAGCCTCATTATCCTTCATTGGAAAGATGATTTTCTTTTATAGTTATACAATGCTGTCTAATTTCCATTGCCTACCCTGTTCTTAGGGAGGGGGCTGCATTCCAAAACCACTGCATTCAGCTTGGAATCTCAATCACTGATTCGTATGAGGGTAACATAAGTAAGTCACAAGTCCTCTGAGGACAACAGCAAAATTAGAACCGAACTGTTGCATCAGGCTATAGATGGCCCTATTATGTGAGCAAAAACTGTTTTCTCCTTAACATCATGGACAGATTTGCCATCTGTAGTAAGCAGGGACTCTGCAAATAGTACAATCACAAAAAAAGTAAAGGGCATAGCTATGATGAAGCATTTTATTTATCCCTTTCTTCTTCACTTTGATTTTTAAAGCAATCTCCTTTTCAGTTGCCTTAAAATTTTGCACATCCTATAAATTTTCCTATTTATCCAAATGTTGAGATTTGTGAGCGCTTAGAAGACAAAAAAATAGTTTCTAAGATGAGTATAAATTGTGAAGTGTTTTAGAGTAAGCTACGTACTTTTTCTTCTGCTTTGTTTCCGTCACACTAAGAAAAATGTATGCCTATAACAGCAAGTATAAAGAGTGTTGACATAAACGAGATGGAAGAAGAAAACCTTAAATATTTAAGAAAAACATTTTCAAAAACAAGGAACACACTCTGCCTACTAACAAAAAAACTGTGTGCTTCAGAGCACTACAGGAGAGAAGTGGTCAGAAGAATGCTACTAAATTTTACCATGTTGAACAGACATCTACCAAAAGGGCTGTTTATTTTTGATTATCTAACACTTTGCAGGATGTCCACAAATTTCCTGCAAACTGCTAGAAATTCCTCTTATTACTGACTGATCCATGCAGGCAACAGCATCTGCCTTCTTATTAATACAAGTTGATGGATAAGTAACTCTTAAGAGCTGGCCAAATCACTGAGCAGCCACATAAATACACGTCCTCACTCTAAAAGGAGTTTTCAGGCTGCCCCTGCAGTCACTAACACTGCTTCAGAGAAGGCAGCAGCAGAGCAGCTGCACACACAACCACAGGGAATGGAGCACTGAAGTCGCTGCTAAGTCAGAGAGGGTGGAACAGCACTCAGAAACGGGTGGACAGATTACAGCCCTTCCACTCTGGCTCTAGTTTAAGGCTAAACTTTACTTTCTCAAGCTCCCTACATGCTGTTCTGCAGGAATATCAAGAGCCACTTGCTTTGGAAACTCACTCTTTTTGACTCATTGCATAATGCTGCTAACTGGGAAGCCCCAGTATGTGACTGAAATGGTACCATCTGAGGAAATGTTCTTTATCTGGCAGTACAGTCCTAAGCTGTAACACCCTACTGGGAGCTCAGTACTTGAATTTAATGGAGCACCCAGCCTGCTGGGTGCTCGGGGAGAGGACACGAGGCTCTTTCCTACGTCTCTGCTAAGACTTGACAAGAACTCTATAAATGCATCTCACCAGCCTCCGTACAACGGCTCCCCATTGGGAAGAATATGGGCATCAGCTGGGGTTTTTCCAAATTGAGCCTTACAAGCAGTCTGGAAAACTTGTGCAGCACAGTCAAGAGAGGCAGACATTGAACCAATTTGCCAGCAGAACTAAGGCACACTCTGTACTCAGTAGAATTTGTGCACAGTTAGGGAAGCATTTCATATTTTTGTGCTGAAAAGTTTGTTGAGATGACAGCAAGGAAAGGATGTAACCTTGCCAGATGCCTTCCTGCTGATACTGAGACAGATTCACAGGTTCTCACCGATAACTAACAGGAGAAGGTCCCAAGGGGAAGTCAGTGAACAGACCATCCAAAATGCCATTTACAAACACTGCACTCCAACACAGAAAACGTGTAAAATTAATGCCACAGAGATTTACAGACACTTCAGTGAGCTATAGATAAAGACACCTAGGCATGTGGCAGCTTAATACTTCTCTTCTACACAACATTTAGGGTTTTTTAAAGTCTGCAATTCTGCAGAACAAACATGAACTGTCTTGGAACACAAATAAAACATAAATTTTAAACACAGTAAACAGAATTTTGATTTACTTAATTCTAAGAAAAGATTCAGAATAGTGTATTAGCCTTCTTTATTGAAGCAGAATTAGTTCTAAATGCATTTTGAAAATTTTAAAGGATTTTTTCTTCTTTTCCTTTTAATCCGGAAAAACACTAATCAGAAGGATGCTCGTATAAATATGGATTTGAAAATAATTACCTACATTTATTATAACCTTCAGTATTAGTATCTATTTTATCTGGCTGACAACTTCTCATAAGCAACTAAATGGAAGGAGTAAGAATTGCCAATATGTGACTACAACAATACAGAATTAGCCCCTTTCCACATCTGCCCACTTGACCTGATTCTTCATCTAAATGTTTAACTTAAATGCATTAATACATTCATTCATTAACCACATAAAATATATTCATAGACTCATTCATTATCCCTGTACACTAGAGATATTAGTATTATTTACAAACCAGAAATCTAGTCCTCCTGTTTTTGCAAAGTTTTCATCGAGAAACAGAGTAAAAACACTTTCTTTAAAGAGAAGAAACTGATTGAAGTTCCATATAAAAGCTGGAGAGAGAACTTAGTGTCAGGTGTAATTAAACTAATTTCCACTTATTGTTTTCTTTACAAAATCAAGTAGATTACAAATCAAGGTCAATTGGTTAAGATACTCGTACAAGTTAACAACAGTCATTCACCACAATATAAAGACATTACACATTATAGTGATTATAGTGCTTAAATAAAGTGGTATTTTGAATTGTATCACAGATACGAACACATGAAATACTTGCTGAAGCTTATTATTATTGAAAAGTGTTATATAAAAATCTAAATATCTATTTGTATATTTGCAAAAAATATGCAAATAGGAATATATATTTGCATATTTGGTATGTTTTGTTGCATATATATGAAAAGAGTAACCTATCTTTCAAGAAATCAGCTGTCCTGCCTTGCTGATGCAAGTTAGGCTCAGTTACGCTGATGCAGTTAGACTCAGTTAAGCTGAGTCACAAAATTACCTGAAAATAAGGATGCTGTGAACAAGAAAAAAAAATACCTAGCAGCTCTGCTTGTAGGAATTCCCAGATAGTGCATAGCTTCACTGCATAGAAATTCCCGCACGGAAGAGCGAAGCACTGCTCTTCCATCACCATTCCTGCAAAGGACAGAGAGCAAGGAATAGGTTGTAAAACCTGGGTAAATTTAAAAAAGAAAACATCCAATTATGGTATCTATGAATTAACTGCAGTTTACCTGGAGTATGGGGTCTTTCCTGAACCTTTTAATTGTAATTCCCACCTCTCACCATGACTGCAAAAATAGAGTTACCATTCATACACCAAGCCTTCACGGAGTCAGGAATCAAGTAAATATTACAGAGAAATAAATCAATCATTTTGAACGATACTGCACCTGTTTGTATACACTCCAATCAGGTGGGCTCTTCCATCACCCAGCTGACCTGCCCAGATACCAAACTGGCAAAAATGAAGATCAAGTCATTTCCTCTCACTGTTGTTTACACAGTTACACTCTAACACACACAGCACAAACATGTGTAGAGGCACTGTTACCTGAACAGTGCTAAAACACATAGCTCAGGTAGGCAATAAGGTTTTGATCCCTAAATCTGTCCTTTCAACTCACAAAAATAATGAAGCAGAAAAGCATAGAAAAAGAATAACACAGGGAATTCCATTTTTCTCTCTGCCTTCTAGCTACCTAAGTACAGCTACAGCCTACACATCAAATTATACCACAAACAGTCATAGCCATTTCAATTAAATTTAACTGTAAGTAACCATGATTACCACAGATTAGAGCCTGTCGGGCAGCAAGGGTGTTAAGCAGACTCTGCAGCTAAACCAAAGTAAAAGACAATTTACTTCTGGCATTAACAGAGGCAGAGAAAACAGGTATCAAAGAAAGTTGCAGTTCTCCCCCATCTGCATGCAGCCCCTTACTGAAAGGCAAATTTGTAATCCAAGTGTTCATAACTTTCATATAATTATAAATTCTCAGAGTACAATTCACCTTGAAAGTTACATACTATTATATATTATTCCACCTGGTAAAATAAGTGTTGGGGTTACCTGATGACCTCCATATCTGTGGGCCAAAGGAATAGACCCAGGTGTCAATTTCTCACCACTGATCCATTGGAGAAAATCAGCTCTTTCTGTGACAGATATATCAAGATCCAAAATATTTTCAATAACTTCCTGAAGAAAAAAAAAAAGTCAAAAAAGATCAAATTTTAATGGCAATTATTTTTTCTATTAAATGACTTTTTATATTAAATGTTTCTTGTTATTGAGACATGTCACAATGAGGGTGCAGAGAATGAACAGTATTTGAAATGTTCTGTATGTTTAAAGTCTGTATTACAGAATCACAGAATGGTTGAGGTTGGAAGGGACCTTGGGAGATGATCTTGCCCAAGCCCCCTGCTCAAGCAGAGACACCTAGCACACGTTGCACAGGATTTTGGGAATCTCCTGAGACTACACAGCCTCTCTGGACAACCTGTTCCAATGCTTACTCTCATGAAGTTAACAATAAAACATATATGATATACTTATATTTGAGTGCTTGTATTAACAATTAAAACATGTATTAATGATCTCTATCAAAAGAACAAAAAATAATAACCAACCTTTGAAACAGCTACAAGAAGAACTCTAGATTTAAAAGGTGTAGGATAGGCAACTGAAAAAATGCAGTTCCTCACATTACGGACATAATTTTCCTGGATAGGATCAATTGGAAAATGATCTGTGAACAAAAATAAAAGTCAAGAAATCTGTAAAAAGGAGGAATTACTTATATTACTCTTGATATGTTTCTCCCTGAAGCCTGTCAAAACACTTCAGAAAAAAACAAAATCATGATGCAGGCCTGATAGCAGCCTGTCACGAAAAGCAAACCTAAGTAAAATCTAGGATTTTATGATTATCCTGAATTCAAGATTTCATTCTGTTGAGGATTTTTTTTAAAGGACCAAATCCTGTAGTTAAAGAAATAGCCTGTTCACACCAGTTTTAAGGGCTAAGACACGTGTAGGACTAGTCTGGGTGGCTAGAGCAGCCTCCGGGCAGGCTTATGCGTCATCCCGTTCTGTGGAACGCCAGAGGACATTCCCTTTGGGCAGGAGAGCCCGAGGAGCCGGGCCCGCACGCGAGGCCGGTGCACAGGGCCACGGCCCCATGGACACCTCCCCGGGCAGCGCCAGCCCGGCCTGGAGCCTTCCCTGCGCTAAGAAAGAGCCGCAGCTCCTTCTCTGCCTCTTGCATAACCTACGTGGGCAAGTGATTTCCTTCAGCACTCTGCACCCTGATCCCTGATTAGAGAGGGCAAACACCGCTTTAAACACTGGCCTAACGGTATCTGACATTTTCACAGATTTTTGCCGATACTAATTTTACAATCCCAGGGCCAATTCCTTTCTCTCACGACCGTTACCAACGGTTCCCAACACCCCTAACGGAAACTCCCGCCTGGGGCGCAGGCCTCCGCGTTGCTGGGGCCCGCGGGCGGCTGCGGCCGCGCTTGGGTCCCGCTGCCGGTACCGGGGCTGCCCCCTCGCCCGGGCCCGGCCGCACGCCCTCCTGGCAGCAGCTCCGCTCGCACCCCCGCGCGGGCCCCGCACCGAGGAGGCTCCGCCAGGCGCCCGGCCCGGCCGCTCCGCGCTCCCCTGGCCGGG